GCGATTTTGTGTTTTTAGCGTTTTCAAAACGCGGATTTTGATTTTTTCGCGTTTCTGAAGCGCGAGAAAACTATTTTTGGCCACAATTTAAACCCTAAACATATTTTGTTCTTCATTTTTTTTTTAAGTTACTAATAAGTAAATTTTCGTCCTACTGCGTGTATAGAGGAAAGTCTCCCGAGCTTTTTGTTTGGCCGTTATTAGGCAGCCGTAGTATGATCCTTTGCCACAGATTACGCTCATATCTTTACAAAAACTCCCATTGGGAGATGAATGAAAGAAAGAAAACAGAAAAGAAAGGAAAAAAGAGAATCATTGGAACTTGGAAGTCGTATTCTTACCCACTGGAGGACCTGCAGAATTCCGCAGTCTTTCTCTAAATCTTGTGACAGGCTTACGACGTTAAAACAGATGATATACATTGACATTATTATTTAATACTACTTCCGTCTAGTTTTTAGTTCAAAGTTGAAAACTCAATCGAGATTATTTTTATGGGACGGAAGCTGAAGTAGCACTTAGAGAAAAAGACGGCCGAGAAGACGATTTAAACGACGCTTTTGGGTATTTATGGAGATTGAAATTGGCCCTCAAAATCAAGTTCTGTATCTGGACCAGGATACTCAGCCGTGAGCTGCATTATTAGTACGTACACCCCATAAAAGCCAGTTGAAAACATTTCTTTTCATTATAAATGGAACACAATTGACTGTACTTCCACCTAAAAATTTCATTAGTTTCGATCATTTAATACCAAGAGTGCCGATGGTATGTTTGTTATTCCCTATTTGCTTTCTGCAACTTATATACTTGAGGATCAGATTGTTTCTCTTGCTGACTACGAGTTCTTTTATTTGTTGTTTAAGAGTACTTTGTAGGACACTGTAAGCTGGATGGTCTCATTCATGACGTAATTGTGGAATAATTTGTAAGGAAGTGCGAGATGCCTCTCTCCGTGGCGAGAGGGAGTATAATGTATGATTTGAGTAATTGGTGAAGTCGCGATATTCATCTTAAATACTTGTAGACATGGGATCTTCATAATTTATGCTTGTGACTTTAAAAACATGTTTTAAATATGGGGTTTTTTTTTTCCTAACAATGATGCCTGCGACTTTATAATTGTTTTAGATGATTAGATCAATCAATCTTTACCTTGGGTTACAAGATTTTATTGCTGGAAAGGGGATATCATTGTCCAATTATTATTATTATTATTATTTTGGCTTTAAAAGGCTGGGGTGTGTAGGAGTGAACTGGTAGTATAATTTGCTTTTAGTATTGAAAAGTACTTTCCATATTAAATCCCACAACAAAACCAAATAAACAGAAGAAAAATTGGAAGAAAAAAAAGAGCATTACAAGGTTGCAGAGTTAGTTGTCATCATTTCCTTACATAAATGTACTTAAGATCAATAGCACTTGAAAACACCAGTTTTAGATGTTTAGTGTCAACATTCCCTAGAGACCACAAATTTAGTCGGTTATGCAAAAATGAGATTCAGAGAAAATGCCTGGATCAACTGGTTGAAAGAAAAAAAAATCAAGAATCAGCAGCTCATTTACGAGACCGCAAATTTCAGTTAGACCTTTTAATGTGTTCATTGAATATCACCAGTTTGTTATAACTGTATCATTATTCTTCAATATCATGGTTTAACAAATATCATAACACTCCTTTAGTTTTCAAAGTTAGCAATATTTTCAATGCAGACAAATTAGACTTTGGCAATTCTCTATCACTTGGTTTGGCAAGGAGTAAATCACTAGGAATTAGTAAAGTCCACCGATATGTCCACCATTATTATACCACAAAAAGAAAAAATTAAAGGAATAAAAGTTGATTAAAAAATATGGACAAAATGACAACGTAATAAAACAAAAAAAGGAAGAAAACCATGAAATTATGGGAAACTGAAATGGAACTATGAATCTAGAATGTGAATTGAAATAGTTTGTCATCGACATTTTTTCTTCCGTCATTCATTATCAATTTTTCAGTACTCTCAAGAATGACTTTGAGAGTAAATAGAAACTTGCGAAAATCAACCCCCCTTTCCAAAAAAAAAAAAAACCAATGGTTCAGTACGGATATCAGAGGCGAAACTCGACAAAAAAAAAAACAATGAAACAATGACTTAAGATCCCATTTTGAGAGAGTCCCAACATTTTTTCGATGTGTATAATAAAAGTAGGGGTTAATATCAAAAACACTCTCGATCTAGATGCACATGGGTGGTCGGAAGAGTTCAAGAAGAGCAAGAGAGTTAGTACTGAAATATTTGATCAAGCATATGAGTGGTTGAAAAAATGGATCTTTTGAGGTATCAACATTGGAATTTTTTGATCTTTGTGGTTTTTTTTGTTTCCTTTTCTTTGTTTGGTATTGAAACCTCTTTGTTGTTTTTCCTTGCATAATTAGTGTCTTGATTGAATGTGCAGGTTGTGTGGAGGCCCTATGATAGGATAAAGGAAATATCCAAAGATCTTAGTAGTCAGATGAATCTACGCAACTGTTAAGTGTACCTCATATGCATGGATCGGATTTGGTACCATTAATATCCATCTGGCATTGCAGAGATGCAATTAGGCGTGTGACTAAAAGATCTGACAAAGCCAACCATGGTTCGCCACTAATGGTTTTACAGGCAAAGAAGGATTGGGATGACCGTTGGTCTTTGTGTGAAGATGAAGACCCAGGCAAGGTAATAATGTAAAGAAATATTATGTTGTTTAGCTATTTCATTTCACATGCACACATACACAGGACATGCTATTATTTTTGTTTGAGAAAACCCCAGAGTTGTTTCCTCCAGATTTCCCCACTTCAGGGGTTTCTTCAGTAGAGAATGAAAGTATTTGTTAGGGACTTAGATGAAAAATCTGTTGTAGAGTCAAATGGGCTCTCAGGTGGGCGTTTTGTTCATGTTGTTCTTTTTCTTTCTTCCAATGAATGTTTGGAAGTCCTTTTAATTTCCATGTTTATGAGGGGAAAGCTTGTTCTCATGTTCCTACTGTTAAAACTGTCGGTTGTGGTTTTTTGGCCTAATGATACTACGCTATGTTATAGAAACAAGAAGATCAACACTAACTACACATGGGGTTAATAATAAATCTCTAAAGGGTTAAGTAGGCAATTGTCAGGTGTACCTTATATGTATGGAGCGCGTTTGACACCATAAATATGCATGTGGCACCGGTCTGCAACTCAAGGGGATAGGGAAAGATTCAGGATTGTAATACTATTGAAAACACTAAAGTAAGTAGTACGTCCTCAATCCCAGTAAAATAATCCACATGTTATGATTTATATTAAAAATGGTGCAAAGGCCAAAACTTGACATTTTTTGAGAACGAAAAAAGTATTAATTTAAGAAATAATTATGTTCTTGAGAGATTAAGCCCTCCTTTTTTTCCAAAAGAAAAAATTAATATTTTACACTAATTTTAGGGTTATAATATCAAAAACACCCCCAAAATTTATATGATTATCTAAAATACCCTTATTGTTAAAAAAATAAATTATTATCCCTAACTTGTAAGTAAATTATCAAAAGAATCCTCCGGTAATTGAAAGTTGATATATGTTTTTTTGAGTTATAGAAAGCTTAGTGAAGTCATACCTTTAGAGGCTAGTGCAAGCTATCCAGTTTTAAGCCTTGATAGAAAGTCCTCTAGGATCGGAAGAGGCATACAAAGTCGGCCAAAAAAAAGTGCCAAGAAGATATTATACTTTCAGGAAACACTCCATGATTTTGTGTAACTCTAATAAAATTAAATATCTAATTTTGAATCTAAAATTCGCTTGACAAGTCCAAAAAGCAGTCACTTCTTCCCAAAATCACTGAATTCTAAGAATGTCGGAATTAATCATATCCTAAATTTTATTAGAGTTAAAAAGAAAAAAAATACAAAAGATTTTTGGGGGTACAAAAATGTTTTCATGCTTTTTTTTTTAGCTGAATTTATGTGTATACATTAATTTTTAGTCGCCGAAGGATCCTCTTATTAATCTCGTTTGCTTTGCAGGATGAAATCAAGCGTGAAAGGGAACGTGAAATGAACTGCGAGAGTGATGTGTTTTTTACTCTGAATAACATGAAATGTTTCAATTAATTTTTATTTATTCATTTATTTTGTCAACACTTTGTATCGAATTGAATTGAATAACTAAGCATGAATTTATAGTAACTACTACTGCTGTAGCTCCTTGGGTTGTGAGAATTGATTTAGTTTTCTGAGGAGATATGGTAGCACACAAACCTATGCACGATTCAAATCGCTCAGCAGTTCCTCGGTGACTAGGTGTGATCATGATTGGATTAATGCAAATTACTATCAAAAAAATATTTATATCCATTAGTACAAATTTCTTTTCACAAATGTAAAATATTTTAACGTCTAAATTAGTTATTTTAAATCGAGGAACCATTTCTTTCCATCTTTAATTAGTGTTAATAAATAAAATGCGCCCCATAGAGAGTAAAATTTGCACGAACTGAGGTGTACAATTTTTCTTGACATAATAAACTCGGTCATATATACCCAATTAACTTCACAATATAACTAGTTGCAAGTGATTGTAGATTTGTGATGCTCTGATCGAACAATTCTAAGTAAATCCTCCCATTCATTCCCAACATTATTACCATAATACTATTCGTTGTATGTTATTTTTTTTAAAAAAAATAAGTTATTAATAAATGAGTACAAACAATGTAGTGTACTATCATCACAAGCAATATTATTCTTAATAAATTTGGCAATATCAATATTAGTATCTCGATGCTCCAACCTAGGAAGGAGACCCCATCGAAGCAGAAATCCCATGCAGAAACAATAAATGAATAGGTAGCAATTTTTGCCCTATAAAAACCGCCATCAAACATGAATTCTTCTACTCCTTCATCACAAAATTCCATTCGTCACTCTCTAGCGCTACTCTCCATTTTCCATATATATCTTTCCTTCTAATTAATTAAATAATAGTGAAAGAAAGTATGCCGCCGACCACCACCGTTGATGAGGTCACTGCAAAGCTCGAGACTACAGCTGTTGAAGCACAAAAGGCGACAATGAAAGAGCAAGCAGCCGGAAACGAGGCGGCGGAGACTGAGCCGCCAAAGGAGAAGATGGAAGAGAGCACTCATCAAGAAGCAGTTGAAGAGGAAAAACAAAAGAACCAGACAATTGTTGAAGAAGAAGAAGATGGCGAAATTCCGGTGGAGGTTGAAACAAAAACGGGTGTTTCTTTCCCTATAAGGTTGGAAGACAAGAAGCAACTCAAAGCTGTTGGGTTGAGAAAGAAAAGCATGCTCGGTGTGGGCATCAAAATATACGCTTTTGGTAAATATAATATACGTAGTATTTACTAGTAGAGACGAATATCATTACTGTTAAATGTTCTTCTTCTTCTCTTTATCTATTTATTTATTATTTTCCTCATGCAACTAAGTGCATGTACCAGCTGCTAGTAGTATACGAAAGAGTTCATCCTATCCGCCGTCATTATGTATACAATTAATTTGCTTGCAGGAATATATGCGGATAATGAGAAACTGAAGGCTCTCATGAGGGATAAATTTGGACCAAAAGCACCCGCGAAACCCACCAAAGAGATGTACCAAATGGTGATCGACAGTGATATTGGGATGAGGGTAAGATTGGTAATTGTGTTCTCAAACCTAACCATGAGTATGGTTCGCAAGAATTTCGACGAAGGTCTGGGAGCTGCTATCAAGAAACTCACTGGTTCCAAAAATGATGACCTCACCAAGAAGTAATTCATCAATTTATTTAACCTCTTTAATTTTCCTTTGCAAATTTCATTTTATTTACTAGTAGTATTATTCTTTTTCATGAACCTCTCTAATTTTTGTTGTGTGGGTAAAAAAAAAATAAAATGTGAAGGATCATGGGTGAAGCATCAGATGATATCAAGCTCTCACCTGGTTCCGTAATCGAGATCGCCAGGGATCCAGGTTATGTTCTCCAGACAAAAGGTAATACTAACCCAATCGTATTACTTTCTATAGAATATTAATAGAACGAGACAATATTCTTTTCTTTTTTATTCTAAATATAGTAATAATTTAGATCAAACATCAAATTCACACATTTTTTTTTTGTCACTCTTGTCTTTGTAATAAGTATATGTATCAATATTTGGTTCCAGAATCAAATCCTTTTTTTTTTTTTTTTGGGAGGGGGGATGTTGTTCATTCGATTTTTAGCCCGGCCCGTTAATCATTAATCCACACTTCTAGCTAGTGAGTTAATTACCTTAGACTTAGAGCTAAAATTAATGAATTTACTAACAAAATATGGATTATTAATTGTATGGGTGATCATTTGATGCATGAATGAATTGAATGCAGTGAAAGGAGAGGTGGTGAGCAAGATGGAAAGCGAACTGCTGTGCAGGGCGTACATGTATTTGTATCTGGGTGATGACCCTTTTGACAAAGAAGCCAAGGACAAATTCGGCAACTCATTGCTCTCTCTTTTCTGATTCACCCCAACACCGACTTAATTCGGCCAAACCCCTAGCTTCTTAGAAGAATAATTTAATAATATTGGCTTTGTCACTGCAGAATAAGGTTTTAGAAGAGAAATAAACAAATTATTAAGGCCAGTTGGGCTTTAATTACTTCATGCTCCTCCGAAATTTGCTTTACGAAAATAAGCCAAAAAAAACAACTATGAGGAGGATGTACAATTGTATGGGTGATCATTCACTATAAGTAATTCACATTAGTTATATGTCTATCCTTGGTACCCTTTTCAAACAAGTTTTACACTTGTTCATATATCCACTTCTTTGGTTTTTTTTTTTTTTTCTGGTATTCCCATTATTTTCATTTTTTAACACAAAGTCCAAATATATACACTCCATATTAAAAGAAGACTAGCTAGCCAACTTGATTGAAAATGTCTACCCTCTCCTTCTCAAATCAAATGGAATTATTCCGTGTAGTTCTTCTATGTAATATGCAGCCTCGATCGCTTCGCTTATTAGCTGGATCGAGGAACTCTTTTAATCTCCTAACCTTATCATCAATCACTAAAATATATACAGGACTGTTTGGCTTAAAAAAAAAAGACGAAAAAAAAGAACCCTGGACTATTGGGTAGTAATTAACCATTTTCCACATCCCAGCGCAAAGGGAAACTGTTTATATTGAATCGGAACTGGAGTATCAGAGATAATAATAGTCAGGGGCGGCTTTCCAGCTTCCACATCACATCCGTGACATAAGGGAGGATATCATTAGTCTCCTAAACTCAATTCCAAATTGCACATAAGGCAAGTAAATTGTTACTAGAAAACGTCCATAGAATGGCCAAGGCAACTTTAGTGTTGGCTAACCTCATGTAGTTGAGTTTCTTGAGCTGTTATAGTATGGATTCACAGTTGTCTTTAAACAAAATAAAACTTAGAAATAGAAGCCTTCTTCCATTTCAAATAAATTCATCAAAATAAAAATCTCTAGGCTTAACTTAGCTGGGTCACCACAAAGATCATAAGGACAAACTGAGATTACATTTTAGCATTATGTGGGGTTGGTTAGTTTATAGTATTTTATAATCAGTTCTAGAATTTTTATTTTTATTTTTTTAAAAAAAAACACAGGATTTTCTTTTCACTGGAATAATCAAATTCTTTCTTATTCTTCTTCCTTTTCTTTGTGATATCAAAATCTAGATTATTATTCCCTAATGCTCTTCGGTTCTCCCTTTCTGCTCGAAGCTACCCGTACATCCCCCCTCCAAGGCCCAGAAAGAGAAAAGGTCATACCCAATTGTAAATTTTTTTAATTTGGGCTAGCATCAGAAGAAGGCGGCCCATATCAATGGGCTAGCATCAAAATATGCCACTATACCACTTACGACGCCAAAAGAAGGCGGAAATAGAGTGATATACAGTATGACGGAAACGGAGGTAGGAGCGGAAAAGGAGCGGCGGCGACGGCGGAGCCGGAAGCGTAAGAGAGGGCGGCAGCACCGCAGTGACGATACCGTAGATGCTTCCCTTCCTAAACAGACTGCCAGTGTCACTAAAGAGGCCTGTCGCGGTTCCACAGAGAACAAGAATAAATCAATTTCCAAGTCCAATCCCGCCGCCTCTGACTTCCTGACCAAGGTTTTCCCCCCTCCTGAAAACCTATGTTAAGATATATCACAGACTCGCAGAAAACGAAATCAAACCGCTCACAAAGTTTTGGTATTGTTACAGATGAGAGCGCGATTATCGGGAGGCCATTTTCGCATGATAAACGAAAAGCTTTACACTTGCAGGTAGCTTCTGGCATTATACGTTTTTATCTTATTGTTTCCCAAGTATTTTTTTTTTGTTAATAAGTTGATTTTAATCAATATCTGCTCTTGTCTTTGAAGTGGAGAGGAGGCACTGAACTATTTCAAGGATGACCCTGCACTGTTCGATGTGGTAAGCACTGTCTTTTCACTTGTACTAATACTTGTAAGCTTTACCCTGCTTTTTGTTTCTCCGGGTTATTATCCTAGAGTCTTTCTCTGCTCTTTTCTGTATACATTTAATCTTTTTCTGCCATTGTCAACAAGATTTATTACTAGTGTAGTATCAAGGCAACAAGATTTATTTGGGAAACCTCACTGCCACTAGTTTGCTCAATTTATGGTCTCACTAATGTACTCTCATCCAGGACCTAATCTTCATAAAGACTGCATGATGCCTGTACCTCCGTAGAGTATAAATCTCTACTGTAATTGTTGGTCCTCTAAGTTGTTCCAATGGAGAATTAGACTTGTAGTACCTGTCATTCCTTGTAGTCTTTGACTGAATCCAACAGCATCCTTCATGCACTAGCCGCCATAGTATATAAGGCATCATACAACTTTGGAATGGATTATCTATCTATTTTATCTGTCTCATTACAATATTCACTATGTAGAGTCACATCCTTCCCAGCCAGCTCAGTTGTCCTCTGCCCTGGATTCCTACCAAAAGATTAGAAAATAATCTTAGGTGGGTTTTTACCCCACACAAGTTTACTCCCACTTGACCTTCTTCAAAGCTGAATTGTAAAGGATTTTCGCCGCTTCTTAATTGTTAGTACAGTAGAGAATCTTCGTTTCCACATTTTTTCCACGGTCCATGGGTTGATTCTGCAGGATTTCTGTTACATTGGGACCATGTTCAGTACGTTCTTTTTTCTTTGATATCTAGTTGCACTTAAAGCATGTTGTTATGTTCTCCAAGAGATGCATTAAAGCTATGTGCAAGAATTTCATTCCAGTTAAAATGGACATGGTTCTCAAGTTTCTCGGATTTGTTCATCTGTGACTTTGCTTTCTATGAATGAATGGGAGACATTCTGGCATGTTTAATTAGAATGATTGTTCTGATTTATTTTTCGATTTGTGCATCTCAACTTACCTTACTTACGTGGACAGTACCATACAGGATACCAAGAACAGATGTCACATTGGCCCCAACAACCAGTTAACATTATCACAAAATGGTTAAAGGATCGCAGTCCTTGTTTAGTTGTGGCTGATTTTGGCTGTGGTAAGAACCATTTTTATTTATCATTTGCAATTGGTAGTTGTTGAAAATTCAAGTTTGTTTGTTTGATCATCTTGTCTGCTTGATTTCAGGGGATGCACGGCTTTCAAAAAGTGTGGCTAATAAAGTCTTTTCTCTTGATCTCATTTCAAGTGATCCATCAGTAATTGCTTGCGACATGGCAAATGTAGGTGCCCCATAATGAATTTTCCAATGTACAGGGTACCTTAATCTTTTCAACTGATATATACTGTAGGACTAGAACTGGGAATCACAGCTAGAAAAGTAGGCTTTGAATCTGTACACATGTTTTTATCTTCATCTGGTAAGCTGGCATATTGAACTTTTTTTACCCCCTTTACTTATTGCAGACCCCCCTTGCTTCTTCATCAGTTGATGTTGCCATTTTCTGTCTATCGCTGATGGGAGTTAACTACTCAAGTTACATAAAAGAAGCACTCCGAGTCCTGAAGCCTAGGTATAACTCTGTTTATATCTCATGGTTGGCTTTAGGATGTGCAGCAGTTTTCTTTTGTTAATAACATATGTGATAATTGTTCAGGGGATGGCTTTTGATTGCGGAAGTGAAAAGCAGGTTTGATCCAAACAATGGAGGAGCAGATCCAAACAAGTTTGTGAGAGCGATATGCCAACTAGGGTTCACCAGTGTGTCAAAGGTTGGTTTCTTTAATTTTTGGAGTCCGACTTATCCCTGGCAAGTGCCATCCATATACTAAGTGATGTACTTATTGTGCTGCAGGACTTCTCCAACAAAATGTTCATACTGCTATTCTTCAATAAAAAGGTCTGGCAATAGTTTAGATGTTAATGCTACATCTGTGTGCTGCTTTTCTTGTGCTTTGTTACCGCATCCGTGTTTGTGCTTTTTCTCTGTTTAAAAATTAAAACCATATGAAAGTAAAATATTGTGCTGAATTTATGAGTCATTTTATTGTCAGGGGAAGGAAAAGCAAAGTGTGGACGAAATAGAATGGCCTGAACTAAAGCCGTGTCTCTATAAACGGCGATGATATTGATGCAATTTGCCTGTTCTTTTAATATTATATTTTATAACAATGCAAATTACTTATTAGATTGAACTTGAGGTAGTTTTCGGTGTATTTGTTTAAACTGCATCTTTTCCCTTCTTGTGGCAGCTGTTATGTGTAGTATTAATGTGTTACAGTACTAGGAGTGTATTTTTTTGTTAAGGCTCTCTATTGAGTAAAAATATGCCAATATTGGAAGCGAAATTAAAAGCCTACTGGGCGGTAACTGGGCCGCACCAAGTCAAATTTGATCAAATTAGGCAGCTTCGAAGTTGGAACTGGAGGCCGTTTAATTAAACCACCGAATATCAAAGCGGTGAGTGGCGGCTCCGGTGGCTAAAATGAGCTTTGTATGGGTTATAGTCAACCCTGGGAGGCTTCACAATCACCACTTCCCCACCACCTATTCAAAAAAAAAAAAAAACCCACTTCCCCACCGACTTCTTTTTCTTCACTTGTCAAGGGGAAAACGCCAACAGAAATTGAAACTAGTCAAACCTTGTTCCTGCCTGCCCGTTTTAACTTGGAACCGGTCAATGCTCAAAAAGTCCCACAGATCATTGGACATGGTCTGAACGATTTGAATTCTACAAACACCTTTGGAAGATTGAAGATTTGATTTCCATGACAGTGTGGTAGAAATAAGTACTCTGTATTTTTGCAATACTGGATTCATCTCAAGTCCTTAACGGAAGCAGTACCCAGGAGGCTAGGACTAAAGGTTGACTTGGATTCTAAGCAATGTGTCTGTGGTGAAATTAATCAGCCCGTTTGGTTTGTTTATGAGGGATTAAATGCAAGGCTAGCAACAGTTAAATGTGGATGAGATGAGATAACGTGAGCGTGATGGCCAATGAATTCTTTAAGAAAATTAAAAAAAAAAAAAGTCAAATGTACTTTGAGTTTTAATTAGTTCGATATGTTTTTATGATTTCAGTGATCGACGATCTCTTTGCGGATAGATACGTCATACGTGTTGCTGTTTCTTGAGGGGGCGTCTATTAGTTAGATCTGGTTTGTTTCATTTACACATTTTATATACTAATAAAAAAATGTATATACATTATACTATTGTGAAAATCAAGATTCCTTAACTCATAAATTATGAACGGGAAATGCCGAAATGGTAATTAGCCATTTTTTTCCTCTTACGGGTTACAACCATCCCAACCCACATAATCTCAATTAATTTTTTTTTTTTTTCTCATTTTGGAGCATTGCAAGCAATGAACAACTTTGTTTTTACCTCATCATCACTTATTTTGAAGTTGTAAAACATCTCGTAGATATCACTTACAAACTCTTACGTTGATCATTCAATACGTTAAACATACGGATAACAACAGAGCCTGAAAAAATCATTAGCAAAAATTCTTGCTAATCTTTGTAATGATAAAAATCAAGATTTTGACTGCTTGGAAAACATATTTAGAAAAGGCTTAGTCCGTTCGAAAAATTGATCTCAATTTTTTCATTCTCTAGGAATAGAATGTTCAATATAGTTAGTACAACAAACCAACCTCAAGATTCACAATTTGGTGAATTGGCCTTGAGAGACTAAGAAGATATATACACAGGAATATATTGGCGGATACATCTCAATGTTTACTCTTTGCTAGCCAATTCATTCTAAACTTTTAAAATTGAGTGGTTTTATCCTAAAATTTTTAAAATTGAGCGCAATCATCCCATATCCGCCAATATGTATATTGCTTAATTCTTTGGGCTAATTAAGAGAAAACAATAGAAAAAGTTTTACAAAATTAGACATTTCATTATCACAAGTGAAGTGGGTACTGTCCCTTAGGGACTAGGGAGGATCCAATCGCATGTGCGACTGCTATAATTTTATTTTAACTCCTAAGTAATAAGAATATTAAATACACTGTATCATTATTCATTACTACGCGAAAAAATGATTAAATAATCTTTATTTGCACATACATTTTTCAACGGCATCCTGGTGTTTTGACCACTATACCCTTCCGCTGTCCCCTTCCAATCTTCCATTGCTTCTCCCCTTCTTTATATAATTCGGACAAACAAACTAAAATAATTCAAAAAGACAAAATAATAGAGAGCCTCTTCTGACACTGACTCCATTTTTTTTCCTGCCGCGGCTTTATCTCTGCAGATCAAGATTTCATTTCAACCCAAAAGAAAAAAAAAAGGTTTTATATTACGCGGTGATAAAAGAAGCTTAAGCAGAGTAGTAATTGTTTATTTCTCCCTGTCCATTGGAGCTCTTTCTTTTTCTCCCTAGTACTTTCATCTGTACCACCAAGCTCTTGATGTGTTCTGCTTCTTACTAAGTGGGATTGTTTCATTGGGGTCCCGCTTTTCAAGATTGGTTTTTTAATTTCTTAGCTCAGATTTGTAAATCATGGGATTATTCTCAGAATGGATTTTAGTTGTTGGGTTTATTTGGGCATTTGATTTGGATGTTATTTGATCCCAGACCTTGAAGTTGGGGGTATTTGTGTCAAGCTTGTAACTTGATTTCATTTAAGTGGTCATCTTACTGTTGTTAAGATGTGGGAGCAATTCTAAAGTTCCTTCATTTATTTGTTTGTTTTCCTCGTTTAGTTAGGAATAGAAAGGGATACTTTCAGTTCGTCTAGTTGGTTTGTTTGGGTTATCAATTAGAGGAAAGATTTAGGGGAAGTCAAAATGGGAGATGGTTTTTATTCTGTTGAAGAATTCAGTTTGGACCCCAAATGGTTGATTGATCCGAAGCTTCTCTTTGTTGGTCCCAAGATTGGAGAAGGCGCTCATGCCAAAGTCTATGAGGGCAAGTAAGTTTGTCAAATTTAAGCCAATATTTTTAGCTATTGCAGATGTATTGAATCTTGATCTTCTAGAAAATGGATTTCTTTATTTATTCTTTTCATAAAGTGCCGAATTGCATTGCACTGCTATGTAATATTGACTTGTCTCTGTCAATGTTATCACTTCCTTAACGATTGATGTATGATTTTCAACTTTGTTTTTAGCAGTGCGTGATTTAACTTCCGAAATAAATTTAACATTAATGGATATTAGTTCTCACTCTGTTTCTCTTACATCTTAATTTGTCTTATTTCTTGATTTTCCCTTTTTTGCAGGTACAAAAACCAGAATGTAGCTATCAAAATTGTTCATAAAGGGGAGACTGCAGAGGAGATTGCTAAGAGGGACGCTCGGTTTGCCAGAGAGGTTGCCATGTTATCAAGAGTTCAGCACAAAAACTTAGTGAAGGTGGGTTGAATTGTGTTTTAGTTTCTCCCTCTTGTGCAGTCCTCTTATTTTTGGTTCGAGATTATATATGACCATTTGATGGTTGATTCATTGTAACATTCGCTTGATTTGATCCCCCCTTTTGCAGTTTATTGGAGCGTGCAAGGAACCAGTCATGGTGATTGTGACCGAACTTCTTACTGGTGGGACACTGAGGAAGTACTTGCTAAACTTGCGTCCTAGATGCTTGGATACACGTGTTGCTATTGGCTTTGCCCTTGATATAGCCCGTGCAATGGAATGTCTACACTCTCATGGCATAATTCATCGTGACTTAAAACCTGGTACTCATCAGTTCTGCTTTTCTATTTTCAATCTCGTCTGCACATGTGTTTCTGTTTTGCAAGCTTGTTCAGGTGGTATGTAAATGGTTATTTTCATATGATAGTGGTAGCGGTAGTTTCGTCTGGAATCCACCCTTTTTAAAGTATGCAGATAGCTGTGGTAAATGAGGTTCAGTTTTACCTTTGTTTGTTTTATGTTGGCATTGTGTTGGTGGAGCAGGGAGGATTTTTCGTAAATTCATTGCAATTCGAGAAATTAGAGAAAGTTCCACTGAGAGCCAGAATCAAGAGGAAAAAGGACACATACTTATTTTCCACTTAAATTCACTAAATTATAGCCATCTAATCTTGAAGATTACCACACCTACAGCAATGTCCCTCACTGGATATTGCATATAATCCACAGTTTGGAAATGGATAATTGAACAAGGATGCATTAATTCTACATTTTTCTTTTCTGGTTTTTTGGTAAGTTGTGTTGAAAAGTTTGAGTGAACACAGTTTTCATTCCTCATTGGTCATTGCCACAAGTCTATTTCTTCATGGAAATCTTGAAGCAGGATGTAGGCCTGGCATTTAAAGAGCCTCGTCAATACTATTAGCTTGAAATCAGGGTTTGGGGATTGTGGTCTGCCTGACATCCTTGTATGGATGGATTCAGTGAATCTGGAATCTAGAGACAGGCTTTGATCACCGTAAACCCTGCAAAGAGATCAATTCTTTTCAAGGGATTACTGTTAAGCCGTATATTTGAAGTATAGAATTAAACTTTCTTTTACGTCAGGGAGCTCGGTGGTGGTGAAACTAATTTATTACCCATGCAAATAGTATTCTTTCACAGTAAACTCAGCTACCCTCTGGATAATAACAACCCACTCTACCTGGAGATTTACTGTTGGATCTGCTGATATGAAGGGTGACTTCGGAAAAGTTTTCTTAAGTATATAACATTACTTTAAAAGTGAATACCTCCACTCTCTTTCAAAGTGATGGAGTGTTTATTAGATTTTTTGCATGGAATACGTTCCACCTTGCCTCTGTCTCTGTCTCTGTCTTCTACTCTCCTGTCCTTTCTGAAACTTATCACATGCTCATATGGTGATATTCATGAAAAAATATTGTTTGAGACTGTCTCATTTTCCTTCAGAAAATTTGCTGTTGACGGCAGATCATAAAACTGTTAAGCTGGCGGATTTCGGCCTGGCAAGAGAAGAGTCTTTGACAGAGATGATGACTGCTGAGACCGGAACTTATCGCTGGATGGCTCCGGAGGTAATATAAGGAAACAATTTAGACGTCAGCTTTCCTAAGCATTTCTTTTCTGATTATTCATGTTTCAGAAGTTTGATTTAATTCTGTTCACAATACAGCTTTACAGTACTGTCACATTGAGGCACGGAGAGAAAAAGCACTATAACCACAAGGTGGATGCTTATAGCTTTGCAATTGTTCTTTGGGAGCTCATACTTAATAAATTGCCATTTGAAGGAATGTCAAATCTGCAGGCAGCATATGCTGCAGCTTTTAAGGTAATTTTTTCTCGAAAGTTTTAAATCATTTACTAATCTCTTGTATACGCGGCCATAGAGCCAATATTTTACACTTTGATTTTGGCGTAACTATGTAAATAGAATATAGGGCAGCCAAAAAAAAAAAAAGAAGAAAGATCATGTTGGGGGGGGGGAGCGGGGGTGGGGGTGGTTCACCATCTTTGCCAGAGAGAAGCCAATAGGAAGCGCAAGTGTACTTTGAGAATAAGAGAGATTACCTACTCCTATTTGTCTTTCAATTGGCCTTACAGAATGTTCTCAGCCTTTCTTATTGCTTACGTTTGTTATTACATTAGTTCCATCTTCCTGATCGGATGTTGGGTTTGGAATCTCGAATGACAATGAGATACAAGAAAGAATCCATGTCATTCATCTGATTGTTTAAACATTTTGGAAATGACTGTATTTGCACCTCTGTTTTACTTTTGATCCAGAATGTGAGACCAAGTGCTGACGATCTCCCTCAGGATTTGGCTGTAATTGTAACGTCATGTTGGAAAGAAGACCCCAATACTAGACCCAACTTCACTCAAATAATACAGATGCTTCTGCATTATCTTTCGGCTATTTCGCCGCCAGAACCTGTCATACCAGCCCGTATATTCACTTCTGAGAATTCTGTCTTACCACCCGAGTCTCCAGGTACAAGTTCCTTGATGGCAAAAAGGGATGACTCAGGAGAAACCCCAAAGACACCAATGGAGAATAATAAGTCAAGAGGGGGTTTATTCTTCTGTTTTGACCAGTGTTACTAAATCTTTGGAAATGGAGTTCACCTAAGTCAGTCATCCAGTTGTTAATGCCAGAACTTTCGTGTACATAGGAGATAACCTATAACAGTGCTTCTGTACGAGGTGTAGTGGAAATTTTGAAACATCTTAGTGCAGAACAAAAGAAGGTGAAGGTGGTGCAGCAGATGAGTTTTGTTGGAATATTGGAGTTGAAATGTACGTACAACTTCGACATAATAATGTATCCGTGGCTAGTAGATGGAGCTTTTGAAATTGAAGACTTTAGTAAACAAGAATAATGTGGGTAGATTGGAAGATACATCAAGTAGTGTAATGTTGTACTGAAACACTTGACTAGTGGAAAGAGGAAAAACGAAAAAGAAAAAAATGAGGAACGGTAATAAAACTGGATCTATCAACTTCTTTTTTCTTTTGCCTTTTGAATTGACAAGTGTTCATTAAACCTGTTGAAAATCAGTGAGCCAAAATGTTAGAATCGGCTTGAGTAGCTACTTCATGAGCAGCAGAAGCTTCTTGGACGATAGTTATTGTCGCAGGCTGTGGAATGTGATGTAAAACAGGAGCACAAAGGAGCTAGCACACAAGACCGCTCCTAGTGAAGCCAGAACAGCACGGCAGAATCTCCAAGTCGACATAGTGGCAACCCAGAGCCAGACCCAGAGATACCTGGAGAACATACAAAGCTGCCCTTAATGCCATGAATTCTGCCAACTCTGGATGATTAAAACCCCCATAGGAATTTCCTCTTGCGCGTGAATGAGTCGAAATTGCACCATCTTTGGCCTGCAGGCTGCAGCATATAAGTTAAAATGCCTGCGGAGATAGTTTTCCCAACATTGAAATGCTGATCAAGATGCGCGCATGAGAAGTAAAGTTGCAGACGACACTATAATATATTCAAACGTACTGCTTACCATCTCCCCCTCTCTCGTTAGTATTTAAAGCAGGGCCTTCATAATCCGAAGCCTTACACCCTGCTGAATCCAAAACATGAAAAGCAAAGTTGCACCAGGAGAATTAATTAATGCTCGCAGTTTCTTCTGTGACCCAAATATTCCCACAAAAATGAACAAGTTGATTTAAAGAATTTAATGCCATTGATTGAAACACAAAGGTCAGCTCCATCGTTCTGGCAAACTGATTCCTAATCCAAATCAACGAGAAATTGGGCATTGGGGGACCGACCGTGACTAATGAATTCCTAATTCTAATAGATAAGAAATTGGCGAGTGAGGCTGGGAACAGCTGCGGTGGAGGAAGGGAAATGTGGAAGGGCCGACGACGATGAGAAATCGGGGCTGGATGAGGAAGGAAATTGAAATTGATTTGGGATCTTTTGGCTCTAAAACAAATTAACATCTATGGACCCCTATTAATATTCCCTCCATCACAAATTGATTGTTCAGTTTGGATTTTAGAACAATTTGTAAAAAAAAAAAAAAAAATCTAAACTGAGAAAAAGTTTGAGACGGAGGGAAAATAAAGTTTCATCTATTATGTTATTGTAATTAAAAAATAAAACCAGATTTTATCATCGGGATAAGATAATAAATGTGAAATTATATTTTTATAAATTTTGATTTTCAATTGGTATAACATACTAAATGAAATTTATGATAAATTAAATTAAAATTTCTTATGATAAGTACTTGAGGGAGTATCGCACAATGCTTGTCCACCTCTGCAAATACATTAGTATTATTATTTATTAGAGCATCTCCAACCATAGCACGATTATTTGCGCCAAATATAGTGTAAAATGAGAATATTCTAAAAGAATTTTTTCACACTAAATGTCTTTATACTCCAACCTTGATGCACTAAATTTTTTAAAATTATAGTCTAAATTTAATTTTTATAGTTACAAATCTTATAGTTTGGTGATAATTTTTTTTATATAGGTTATTTTGTAATTATTTTAATTTAATTGCAAAAATACCAATTAAATAAATTTTTTGAAAAAATATAAATATTATCGCCAATATGGGTCTTATTTTAAAGATCTCTTAAGATATTTAATAAGATATAGATTTCGTAACACTATTCATTTTATAAATTTAATTACATAGCAAATTATCTATTTAGATGAATGTAAATAGATAGTGCACAAAGACTGTGCAATTGACAATTTACACGAAAATTGATGCACCATTATTCATTGCACCAAAATATTACACTGATTTAGTGTGTTCATTGAAGTGCAAACTCTACACTAGAACACCAAATTTAGTGTTTTAGTGTCTTGGTTGGAATTACTCTTAATCTATTACGATAAATATAAATTAATGTCTTTAGTAACGTGATATGAAGTAATGATGATAAAAAAAAAGTTATTTCTTTACTCACGAGAGAAAAAAGGAAGAAGAAACTGAGATAGTGCGCATGAATGATACACTAGACACATGAACTAAAATGTAACCAACTACGTACACGGATCACAAACTACGAAATGTTCACTAGGCAATACATAGCCCACAATTAATACAACAACACAAATGAAAAATAATTAACCATAACTAAATCAAATAGAAATATGCAAACCACACGATCGACATCACGCGCGCGCAACTCCAATCGAAATGAGATCCGATATATTTATATATGGCACCAGGGAATTAATATTGTAGAGGCGGAGCGATTCTATCTACTTGGAAGGAGGAGGCGCCGGGAGAGGAAATTTAGGCATTGGAGGGAGCGCCACCTTTGGGAAAGACGGCATTGTTGGCTTCGGGAGAGATGGCAGCGGGGGGGCTGCGGTTGGGAAAGCCGGCTTCGGCAGGGATGGAAGAGGTGGAGCGGCGGCGGTTGGGAAAGCCGGCTTGGGGACGGAGGGCAAAGGAGGCAATGTAGCAGGTTTTGGGAGGGATGGAATAGTGAAAGTTGGTATTGTGGGAATGGATGGCATTTGCAAAAGGTTGCGAGCCGCCATGCTGCTGCTTGAAAACAAGCACATTATTGTTACAGTCATTGAAAGGATGACACCACAATTAGCGGCCATTCTTTATATATACTAATGTGTGGGAATACCAAAACTGGGGGCCTGCCCGTATATATATGCTTTTGATGTTCGATGATCAAATTCTAGTGTGTTTTGAGACCCTACGAATGAGATGATGGATGAATTGGGGAGGGGGGTTTTATAGGGTTTGTGTGTTGGGAGGAAGATTCAATGGTTGGATGAAAAGTAGATGGTGTTAGTTCACCTTATGCTAATTAAATCAATCTTTAAGATCTTAAATTTCAATAGGTTTGTTATGAATTTGCATTTGTCTCCGGCTCACGTATCTCAAGTCCTACCTGCGTTAAACCCCCCAAAGAATAAGTTGAGGTTTTCATTCTCATTCCAAAAATGAAGTCGGTGGAGTGTGGTGACGTGTCAGTGGATAGTTTGATGTTAAAGTTTTTTAAGTTGGTAATAATCATCTAAAAAGAAATGAGGTTCATATTAATTGGGTTACATCATTAAATTAACTAATGTAATATCCATCAGCTAAAATTGGAAGGCATTGATTCTTAAACATAAATAAATTGGAAAGCAAATACTATATATCACCAAAAGTCTCTCCAAATTTGACTGATAATTTAGTATATATACACACGTGTCAACCAGAACAAAAAGTTTTCTCAACAACTTAGCACGAGTCAGTCAATTTTTTTATCAAACAAGACAACATTACGGGTCAAATTGCGAATATAGTACTTCTGGAGTTTTGATTTTATAAAATCACAAATAAAAAGACCAACAATACTGAATACACATACATATTGGAACAAATTGTAGCTATTGTTAGTTACATATATACAGTATGTACTACCAAGCTTATCATTTCACATACAACAATACAACAGAAAGTCTACTAAAAGTAATTATACCAAAAAAAAAGAAAATTGTACAAAATACAAATCCTCGTACTACTCAAAAGGATCAAACTTAAACATATGATAACCAGATACGTTATTATAAACAGCCATTAAGTCCGAGGAAGATCATTCGTCATGTATACAATGATCATTTTTTACTAAATCAAATCCTGAGATATAAAGATAAACACATAATATTGGTCCCCCGCCATATCCCACCAGCATGAGGATTGCTGACTGTAGGACCAATCTTCCCAGCCATCCTTTTCCAGGAAAAAAAAAAAAGAAAGAAAAAGACAAAAAAAAAAACCCTAATTATAATGGAAAACTCACATCATATCATCAATCATCATCATTGGAAACAAATATTCAAGCGTGATAGGGACGAGGCCGCTTATTACCCAACAAGCTCTGCCCACCCAGAATGAGGCCTCCTCCTTCAGGCTTATTATTATTATTATTATTCATTCTGTTGTCCAGAACCCCTTTGATTGCTTTCCTAATTGTCGCCAATACCATTCCTTCATCTTCTGCTGAAACTTGGAGCCACAAGACAGTTTTTGTTCTTCCACCAACGGTTGCCATTTCAGCCCTTACCACCTGAATTATTGCAGCTGTTTGTTTCAATGCCTTTGTTAACTCGGTCATCATCTGGGGTCTGTCCTCGCAGCATAAACTGGCCTTTATGATCCCGGGATTCGAATGATCATGCCAGATTTGGAGTTCATCGGTTTCTCCAGGGAACAAAAGTTGGTCCATTAATATTGTTGTTGATGATGATGACGTGTCGTCTGCACCCGACGAGGAGGAGGAGGAGGAGGAGAACTCTTGGGTCGTTTTCTTGAGTTCTCTTATGCACCGGACCACTTCTGCTAACAGTGATGCCTTGTCTGCCTGCAGTGATATGAATTTCCATTAATTTTTAGTCTATGCAAGAAAACAACAAATATGGTTTTCCACTTTTCACCTTTTCATCATCACCCAAAGGATAACCTAAACCACTTTTGTGACTAATGAGTCAAAAGACAGAAAAAGATTGACTACTTTGCTTGATGGACATTATTCTACAATTAATGAACACAGAAATTGATGCTTAAAATGAGTGATACTATGCTGTTAGTGAAGCTATAATAACAGTGTGTTTTTCAGTTTAAGGGCAAAAGAAGATCATGTGGGATGATCAGTTTTCTTCTAAAGATGAAAACAGTAATTGATCTTCTATTTATAAAAGGAATACTTATTTTCTTAGAAAAAAAAATAAAAAAAATATGAATGGTTGGAACGTATATGCATGACTATATTGAAACATATTACTTTGATGGTTTTGGGAACAAGATTACGAAGGGTGGCAAGGTGGCCATTGATGCGTTTCCTCCTCCTCCTTTCAGCTTCACTGTGGCTTTTGTTGGCTGCAACTGCTTTAGCCTCAGCCATTGACATACTCTGATCAAACAAAGCAGCCTGAAGATGTTGATCTTTGGAAGATGTGGCCAAAATCTCTTGAAGTAAGTTGTAAGATTCCGAAAAGCTTCCCCCACCACCCAATTCATGCAAATTCATGTTTGAGTCTGAATTTGAGCCTCAACTAATGTCGATGAGAATGCAAATGGAAAGTGGTGAACAAGTGAAGAGGGTTGAGAATGAAGCCTAGCTTTCTGTAGATATATATATCATGGGAAAAATGGATGGAATTTGGCCTGTTTGTTTTGTTTTTTTTTTTTTTATATATATATAATTTCTTTTGAAGGTACGTACAAGTAATCCTTGCGAGTTTGAAGCTTGGGTTTTGATGGAATTGACAAGGTAGGAAGAAGAAGGAATATGAACAATATTGTAATATATGTATTTACTAATACATATAAAATTTACGAATTATCTATATATACCATGTATATTGTTCATAATATTTATGTATGAAATATAATCTCAATTATTCTAACTAACAAAAAAGTGGGACAAAAAGGTGGAAAAAAATTGCAGGGAAAGGGAGAGAATATTTTTCATCACAAGAGGTATCGTTACCTTTTTGTTTTGACAGTGTGGAAAAAGAAAATGTATGTGAGTGGAGAAGTTCAAAAAGTGTAATGATTTTCCGGCGCAGAGTTGATTACGGCATTGGCATGCAGCAGTAGCAGCAGGATGTTCATTCACTACTCACTCCCTAGCTAGTGTGTGTGTGTGTGTATGTGTTAGAGAGAGGCACTGTAGACAGAACAAAGGAAGAATTTTCTTGTTTCTTTATTCTCCAAAATTTTTTTGGAGTCCCAAGAAAAAGAAAAAGGCAAATGCAGCTTTGCTGTTTGTCCATTTGTTCCCACACACCTACAGCTTCCCAGTCCCCCTACCCTTTCTGTTTGACACTCATAAGTTGTTTCTTGATTTTTCTTTTTCTTTTCTTTTTTTTTGGGGGGTTCACAATACATTAAAAACTGCCCTCAAGAGTCAAGATTAATAATGAATTGGGTTGTGCCTTCGGGGACATCCGATAAAATTGGGATAACGAATTGAGTTGTGTTAATATCGCCTACTAATACAAATATATTTTGTAACTAGATTTCGCCTATTTCATTCTAAAAACAAATAAAAAAAATTGAGTTGTGTGTGTATTTTTTTTTAATACACAATTACGTACCTAGTCTATTATACGTGAAGTAAAGCCTATAAGAAAAGGGGTAATATCACTGAAGGGAGACTCCACCCGCGCAAAATCCTTTCTGGCACCATTCTTATATAATGAAGTGTTATCTTTCCTTTCTATTTGACCCAAAATTGTACGTACCGAATTTGCAATAAAACATGTGAATGAACGTAATTAAGTAACTATTCAAAATTTCAATTTCAATTCGAATAGATACAGGCTACAGCTAATGGGAACTGGGAAGGTCACCTCATCAGCAAAGTCACGAACCTCATGATTTAAAGGAACATATGTCATCCTCTTTATCCCGCATCTACTGTTTCATTGTTTTGGTTGCTTTTTTGGTTGGCTTTTTACCCCCCACTTTTCAACATTATTAAAGCTTTGAAGCCTTGAACATGTACGGATACTCGTGTATATATATATATATATATGTGGCCCCAGGTTCTTCTTGTGAAGTTTGTTTGGGAATGTTGCAACTATATGCACCCATATGTCCCCATTTTGATAATTTTGTGCATGGTAATTATTGAAATAGTACTAAGAGTTATAGTCTATAACTTTGTTGACTATATTGTTTACTAAGAATAGTGATTTCTATATGGTTTACTAATTTCATTTCACTTGCTTCCGGTACGTGTAACGTTTCCTTCTTGTGAAAAATGATGGCTTATACGAAGGAGACCAACATTTTCCGAAAATGAAGCATCTCCTTAATGTCAAATTAGATCAAATTCTTCTCAATCAGATCGCAATTCGTACTCGTAGACCCGTAGTAGCAAATTGACGATCCAAGTCCAACCCAATGTGGTCAGACAAGAAAGATATGCTAGATTGGGCAAGGCATAGTGTCAGAGAACCAATGCAAAATTTGGGCCAATAACATGACTATTTTTAACAGCCCATTAAACAACCAATTCTTCACCACCCAAATTATCATAATCATCATCATCTACAGCAAGTCTGCAACACAAGCTACTACTGTCTTCTGCTCTTTTCAACATTTTATCCGGAAAAAGGTTTTATGCCACGGGAAATGGTCCAGCAATTATCCAAAAGGCGCAATAGTTTGCTACTTCATCATACTCCCTCTATCTATTTCATCGTCTTGGCTCATTTTGCCAACGGAAGACTTAGACAAACAACCAAATCATGGTCTTAGATGTACAACAAAAAAAAGCCCCAGAACCAGCATCAAACAAGCACATTTCACTCAAAAAGGATGCCAATTTAATTAGGAGGCATCAACAAAGAATACGTACAAATTACCAACTTCATACAAGGGAAATAGATGCCTGCCCTTGATACTCATCTCTTGAAGCAGCAAACCGCTGACAAATTAACCAAGGATCAACCAATATAATTCACAAATGATTCAACTTTCTTCACTTTCTCCTACCTCGAAGCATCACCACATCTTTCCTGAGCTTCAGTAACAAACAAAAAGGTAGAATTAGGATCGTCTTTCTCTTAGACTTTTAAACTACTACTAAATGGGTTAATTCAGCTACTCATTTTTAATCTCTACATAAAGTTCCAGCCACCATTTACTATATTACCAAACAGTTCAAGTGTTAATCCAAGCATTGTTTTTTCCAGGAAACCATGACCAGAAGTTGAAGATCCCATCACTCAGTTGTTAATGCTCCAAAGCCCGGATCAGTATTCAAAGACACAAAAATGTCTCTCCTGCAGGGGCAGAGAACTCCAACCCACCAGATCCCTCTCTGCTTGTTCTAATTTCTGTAAAATATCATTCCTTCACCCCCACATTCTTCCCCTGCTAATGGACTGGAATTCCACTTGGCCCTAATCCCTTTTCCCATCACTTTCTTCTTCCCGGTAGCCGCCTGCTTCTTCCTCCAAACCGTTGACTTAACATCATTACCCTTTTTCTTAATTTCCTCTCCTGCCTTTTTACCACCATCCTCAGTAAGGTCAACACCGCCACTTGGGTTTTCAGTCTTGCTTTTCTGCCCATCATCTTGTCTTGATTCATTAACCGTACCCGAACCCGAACCCAACGTGACAAACGCTTCCCACCAATTCCATTCTTCATCTCCACCATCTCCCGCATTGTTAGTTCCCAGCGGAATAAACCCTCCACAAACATACTTCCCCTTTGCCACCACATCCGGCCGCGGCGCCGCGGCGGCAGCAACGGCCGCCGCAGAAAAAGGCCTTTTGCAATTCGGGTTGTAACACCTCAAAGCACAATCCAGAAAGACACTCTCGTACTCGTACATGAAGTAACAGTAAGGACAGACGGTCCAAAATGTACCGCCGGCAACCTTCCCAGCATCCCTTTTCCTGGTTCTTAAATCCTGGTCAAACTGGGATTTCAAATCCGGGTCGGCCAACGCAGCCCCGGCTTTGAGAACCCACCCGCGGGCTTCGGCGGCAAACGGGTAAGGGTTTTTCTCAGGGTCTACGAGGCCGTACAGGAGTTCGAACCGGGCCCGAGTAAACTTCAGGTCTTGACTGAAGCGGGGAAGGCCGAGAACGGCGTACCAGTCAGGCGGTGATTCGGTTGGGGCCGCTGACGGCGGTGGCGAACAAACGGAAAGAACGGAAGAAATGGCGAGAAGCTGGGCCGGGGCAGGGTGATTGGGGCTGGCGTCTAGGGCTTTGGAAGCGTAACTACGGCATTCTTCAAAACTCCGGTGAGAGAGATGGTGTTTGGCGGCGTCGAGCAGGGAGTCTATGGATGGGTCGGGTCGAGCGGTGCTTCCCATGTTATCGGGATGACAGAAAGCAGTCGGATAGCGAGATGCTTGGAAGCGAAGCGAAATGGGCGGGCTGGATCTCATTTATTTAGGAGTAGTCTATATTGGGTCCCACCAAAATTTGGCCTATTTGGACGAATGCAAAACTTGTGAGTTCTGCGGACGTTGACTGTTGCTGACTCCCCCGATTGAGTAATTTTTTATTTTTCTCAATGGACAAGATAATCAATTTCGAATTGGTTTCCTTTCATGACTTTTATCCTTGGGGTTCTTATACTTATTTAAGAAAACAATTATTAAAACATATTATATTTTCATTTCCAAATATATATATGTAAACATACATATTATATTTCATTTCTATATATATATATATATGTAAACATTCTATATTCCTTTTTATTTTTCTTTTTATATATGTTACAATTAAAAGTTAGCTATAGTGCCATAATAACTTGAAAATTGCTCGTTTTTTCGACTACTGTGAATGGTAATTCACTCTGGACTCTGGCCATGTTTTAATTTTTTTGATAGGTAATTGCTAGTCTTACTTAGTCCATTAGATACTACTTCTAGTAGGTAAGTATTTAGCAAGGAACAAAAAAAGCAACAATTGAAATATTTAAAACTTAGCGATACAATAATCATTTTTAGAATGAAAGGAATAAAAGATTGTTTTTGGTTGTTGGAAATTTAAAATTTTTATGAGGTAACCACTTCGCAAGCAAGACTATCACTATAGGGATTAGTCTTCTTTTAAGAAAGATTTTTTTTTTTTTTTTTTGGTCTGAACTGTAATATATTTCTACAGAATTTTACAGAAAGTTAGCAGACCAGATCTTGTTAAATTAGTGTACCCTTTTTCCAAAAAAAAAAAAAAGTGTACCAATTTGCAGCACTCACTCTCAACCTGAGCTATCTCATTCTCAGGGGAAGGTATCCAATCCAATGCGCCGTTCACATTTGAATGCAATGCCCAAATGTTCAATCTACAATCAAATCCTTCTCGATGAAACAACTAGACAAGTATACGAAACCGACGAAGCCACAATCGATACCCCGATTATCACACAAACCGTAGCGGCACAAACGTATAAATACCTGCAAAACAAGATTGCCAGTGAAATTACACGGTCAAATTACAGATTTGCCACTGTTTGTAACATACAACAGACAGCATGCTCAATTTTATCACAAATCCACATACGAGGGCGTAAGATGAGCTCCTCTTTCACGGTGTGCAAACTCAAAAGAGTTAATGGTATCAGACATGGCGTAGACAGACCAAAAGTCAACAGGTATATTACTCGTAGATGGGGAGAAAGATGTATGATGCAACATGGGATTCTGACAGATATTGAGTGAGGGTGACTTACTTAGGAGAGAAGACACTCCAGATGAAAAGATGATTCCTCATTAGCAGTAAGACAACTGTGTATGCATTTAGAATCAAGGAATTCAAGCCTAGTGGTACCAGGCAAGGGAAGCCGAGATTCCTCTTGAGCAAATGTCCAACATCCTTGGCACGTACCTCACCACACATGTCCTTCCTGGATATATACATCACCATGCTAAGTAGAGATAACAGTGGTGAAGCATAAGTGATGATGAACATTAGGATGCCAGAAAGTGTGGTGGAGTGGCTCGAGACACCCTGGAATCACAACAGGAATAAGATAAGTTGTAGGCCATTAAATTCAAGTACGATGACATGAAATAGGAAACAATTCTTCGGAGGGAAGGCAAGTACAATAAAAGCACCAGCGACATCAATTGTAGCCAGATTGTTGGTGTTACCAAGGCCAAAGTGACCAGCAATTCCCAAGTAGTAGATTGCAGCTACCTGAAAATTAAAACATGGTTGACGGAGGGGTTTAATTCAGCTTTTCAACAGCAAGCAGAAAAAATAATAGTATCAAGTGATAAAACTCAGCCTCATTACCAGAAAACGGGTTTAAGTTGACAAATCATTGTAAAGAAGGCACAAAATTGATGAAAAACTTTTAACCTGGCCCTGTAATATGGGGGGTCGGCAAACATAAAGCTGTTGACATTGTATTATATCTATGGCAGGTCACAACCTTCATCATTATAATTATCAAGCATAAAACTTCCCATTTTTGTTCAACATCAATATTCATTATACTTATCTTCAAAATGCAGTTATTTCCGAGATCGCCAAATTCCAAGATCCCTTGTTCTCATTAATTTCTGGGCTTTCTTTGGGGTGGGGGGGAGAGGAAAGATGAAAGGACAGGATTATGACTTACTTCAGCCCAGTAGGTGCCACCACGAGAAGAATACAGCACAGCAGCCATCATTTGAATAGAAATTAAGAATAAAGGCATCGAATTTATCGGTTGCTGCAGTAACAGCTGCAGAAGAGACCAGCTGAACATCAAACACCAGCCACTAACGAAAGTAGTATCTTTCAGCCCTTTGAGCAAAAGCTTGCTTTGATGTTCAGAAGTTATTTCATCGTGCGAATTGATCCTCAGAATCTTAGAATTCTGCAAAGGCAGCATCCATGGAATAGAAAAGAGAGTTCCAACTGTGGAAAAGCCCAGGATTGCATAAAATCTTTGAACCATTTCTGTGGCGCCAATGCCAGTGGTTGCTAATTTCCCACCTTGAAAAAATATATGGTAAAGAATAAACAGAGCTGGATATAAGTAGATTATTGAAATCACCATGACAACAATTTTTCTGGACCTTAATGAAGACAAAAGAGCAAAAAAATAAGTGCTGATAAGTAGGACACCAGAAACCAGCTGCAACAAACTTATATATGCACTTCCTTCCTGCTCAAGCCATTTCGAAATGTCGGGAAGGTGGGCCCAATTGACGCCACCTTGATGCCATCCCCTTAAAACTCTTCCAGAAATCAGTATTACAACAATTGGGAAAAATCGGCGGAGATCTCTCTTCGTTTGCACCATAAACCCCAAAGTTCTGGACTGAATAACTTTCCGGAGTAGCAGAATATAGAATGATGAGACCACAAAATGCCATACATATTGCTCCTCTTCAACCATAGAACTAGACCCCATACTTGAAATGATGATGCAAACTATAGCCAGACAAAAGATCTCATCCAATTGCCATCTTGTTACAATTTTTAGTCTTGAAAACTGGTCTCTTTTTGTCATGTCACTTTCACAAACAAGTAAGAAGAGGAGGCCCAGTACAATTAGACAAGACAGGAGCAAAGCTGTTAACCCCGAAACGAGTAGACTAGAAGGTCTCTGTAACAGGATGAAAACAGCACCAAATGTGAAGATCAATGATAATGAAGCAAGCAAATTTCAAGAAGACAAATTGAAAATACAGTAACCGGTATGCTATTGCTAAAAGAACCATTTCCTTTCATTATATTTCCGTGATTTCACAAATCCTTTTGATAGTTAAACCCTGTTAAATTAGCCATAATATTCTCATGTACCAACTTAAACACACACTAAAAGAGAAGATGAGAGAGTAAAGTAACCAAAAAACAAAGAAAAAGGAAAAGGAGACTTTGTTCATGACCCTTACATCAGTTGCTCTGCTGGATAACCACTGGCTTGCTGTTTTAAGAAATTCATGGTAAGCAAGGAAGGTTTTATCATATTCAGTTCTACCCGTTGACCTGCACACAACATTTAAAGACATAAAGCTTCAGAAGAATAAAGAGAAATTTGAAATGAATGACACTAACCAAACCTCAAAACTTACGGGGATTTCAATGATTCATGAGCTGTGGCTGCACCCAAATAAAGACAACAAAACATCTTCTCCACAGAACCATAATCTTGACTGATTCTATAGCCACTATCATCCATTTGGACATCGCATTTGAAATGTTTACACTCAAGATTGGGTGATTGAGCTTGAAGTAACTTGAATAATTGCCATGAATTCAACTCCATCACCCTTAGCTGTTCATCAACTGTTATCTTATAGGAACCGGTGTAGCAAGTGCAATGTTGGATATGGCATACATGAAAGAATGATATAGCTTGAAATTAGAAATATTGCATTTAAAATAACACAGTACCAATATCTTACCCTCAGTTACAAATACTTTGACCCAAAATCTTACCAGACCCTAGAGATAAAATAGCTAACGATGCAAGAAAATTGAAAAGTAAGGAGCAGTAATGAGTCTAAGGAAAAAAGGTAAAGATTTCCATTCTTTCATTAGACAATTCAGCAATTCCAACACGGGGTACATTTCACACATACCTTAATGTAACTTCAAAACCTATTCATTGACATATAGGGTAGAATTTTCAATGATATACTAACTTACCAATGTAATTACATTTTCAGTTCAATATTGATTCCATATCATATAACCCTGATTAAGCAGATTCTTTAAACAAGTTTGATCAATTACATGTTGTTTAAAAGTCCAGGTAAGAAAGAAGGAATATCAAACAGAAACATCAGACCTCAAAGCAAAGCTGAAGTTCAAGACCAAACCTGTTAGTGACTTGAAAACTTCTGTCATAACAATGCCGACATTTTCCTTCGGAATAGGGACACCAAAAAGAAGGGCCAATGTTGAAGCGATGTCAACCTGAACACAAACAAATCCTCTGAGCATTAACAGGAATATAACGCATCCAAAATCAGTAATTTTCTGGAATACAGGAGACAAGTGTTGAGCTCTTTGTACTAGAAGGTAACCAAGTAAGATGAACATTTCTCTAGCAAAAATGAGATTAGTCCACCGTCCAATACATACAATATAAAACCTGGAACAAAAGAATCCGACCTGGTTAGCCATGTTGTTGGGTTTTGAAACAGGACCAAATTCCCTTGGGCCAACAAAAAGTGCCAAAGAGTCAGTTTCCTCAAATGACGAACCCCCATGATTACCGCTTTCGGTCATGCCATGATCACTTACTATCATCTGCAATGACATGCAGACGAATTCTAGGTCAGAAAAGTAATAATAATAATAATCAAGTCTCCTTTTTGGCAAATGATGCATTCATACTGGCAGAAGATAAATCAAGGAACTCTCCTGCAAGGTGAACCCAACAAAAAACCAAACACAAATTGAGATACCCATATAATGAGATGAATACTGAGCCAACATGAAGAAGTCACTGCAGGCTGATTGAGTACAATCTATATACGCACGCGTGTGTGTGTGTTTATGGTCATTCTAAGACACTGGATCATCAGAACCACTCAAACGAAACAAAGGAAAAAGGACCGTTAAGTTTTAACAGATTAGACGTTTCCATAAACTTTAGGTTGAAAAGATACAACTGAAAACCAGCAATACCAGTTAGGAAGAATAAAGCAGAACAAACCAAAAGTGTCCGTTCTTTATTGCCTTCTTGACCTTGAATGATACCCCGATCAATCATCTTAATGACTTCATCCATCTCCCTGAGTTTTGATCCCATCAACAAACTAAAGGAACATCAGAACTATTCGTATGAGTAAGGACAACAGGTATCAGATAAACACATTTCAAAAGAAACACACAAGTGTACCTGTTTCGTCCACCGATATGTCCAATATGATCCAAGCCAAGATAATGAAGTATCTACAACCAGGCAGCTCTATCAATTCAACAAGTAAAAACTTTATACATATAAATGTACACATCCAAACCATCAAAATAATTTTTAGATCAACTACAAAAAATGCCAACTATTTCTGCATAGTCAAAGATGAACTAAAGATCATACCAGAAGGTTCCAGTCCATCATGTTCAGCTCAGTGTTCAAATGTCGAGAAACATTGTGATCCACTTCAACAGTATCTTTAACCTGAATCAAGAAAAATGAGAAACAAAGTAAAGAAAGATCCTTAGGCGGGAAGCTCTAAAACAAAATTAGTAATATACAACACAATTTTCATTCATGTTCATTTGAAACTATCAGGATACAGGTAAATATTTTCACGGCAGTCATTAAATGATTATAACTTTAAAGTTAGTAATCAATTTTGGCTACGATTACCTACCACTTCACTGAGTCTCAACAGCCAGAATATAAGACAACAAGAACTAAAACTTTATCCCACAGGCTGGTTGCCTATATAGATCCCGTATCATCACAAGAGTAATTAAATCAATGATATGACATGATTTTTTATTGGTTAAGTTACCATTAAATGGTTTCAAATAAATAATGTAAGACAGGCATCCCATAAAGGACAACCTAAGAAAATCCTGATCTGTTTAAACAAAACAGACAACCCATAAGAAAGTGAGACTACAAAGACAGAAATGCAATATATTGAGACCATAAAAGAGCAAAATGATTTCAAATATTGATTGCAGAGAAGGCTTACAAAGAAACTGCTAACTCCATCATGCCTTGTAAACTTCCCTGGAAATAACTTAATCCATGTATCATCACCAAGCATCACTATTTTCCAGCCAATTCTAGTAAATTGCTCTGCATTAACAACAAAGATGTATAACAGTTATGTAGGAGCAAAGAATAGCCACCAAGCGTACAGGGCTGATAACTAGCTTACCGATAAGATTATCGTCTAATAGAGCTTGAGTGTTAAAGTTGAAAGCAACATCCAAATATCCTCCAATTGCACCAGAAACCATAGCCTACAAGAACTAAAATGAGAAGGGGACATGCATACTTCACCAAGAACGAAAAACAGATTGGCAATTCAGTTTATGATAACCATATAAGTTTACCTTCAAGCGAGGCATTGTGACAGTAGGAGGTGCAGCCTTGGCATGATACCCCATTGCCTTTCCTTTAGCCAACAGTGATTGAGTATAAGGCATAGCCTCCATAAAAACCTTTTCTGGAGGTTTTCCATCTCTTCCGAGGATAAATTCAGCTGGAAGACCATCAATAACCTATAAACAGGATGTAACGGAAACCTTCTTATTTGTTACCCAGACTAGAATTAGTTAACAATATTTATTTGCGAAGAACAACATAGCGCCAACATACCATGAAAACTAGGCGATCGAATGAAGGTGGCACTCCAGATAATTTCTGGGGGGAAAAAAAAAAGTTACATCCCACTAACCAAGAATCGAATCCAAATTAGCATCAAAATGCAAAAATTTCAAATATTTCCCGCCACAGAAAATGGGGGAGAAAAAAGAGAATAAAAAATAGCAAAGTCGGAATAAATGGTCACCTGATATAGTTGAAATAGCCCAGCAGGTGGCAAAGCTGAGATATTCTCGTCGCGAACAGAATGATTCAGGTTCGGTGGGAAAAAACTCTCCAACCCACTGAAATGTAGTGAAGAAAGTCAAAAAGAAGTTGATGAACACGGAAGCAAATCGATTTTCTAAATCATCAGGGTGAATTTAAATACTAAGATAGTACCTTGTCCCGGAGAGAGTGGATTTGACAGGGAAGAATCCCATAACGAACAGAGACAATCCAATAATTTGAATAACAACTGCTGAAACTGTCAGTAGAGTTAATGTCCTACATGTTAAGGAAGGAGATTTTGAAACCTCCATTGTTATCAATTCTTAGTGAAGAATCTCTGTCCAGACTGCTCCGGCCGGTAATGTTTCTGCTGAAGCCGCCCCGGCGGAGCTTGTTTGATCTCCCCTTGTCCAACCCGGTTTTACTTGACCCGATCCGTATTTGGTTTCCATTTACTCCACTCAAGTATTAAAAAAGGGCCCAAAACCAAACAAAGCCCAAGCCCATAGTCAAGTATAAATTCTTGACCCTGCCGGAAAATCGTGACGAGATTTCCATTCAGTCAGCTACATAGAACTGATCTCCGGCGAAATCTTTCAAGCAGCGCAATTCAGTTCAGCTTCGACAACCTTCGAGATTTCAAGATGTCCAAATTCACCAGATTGATCTCGAGAACAGCCATGGCGAGGCTGAGGGACCCATCGAATTACTCTTCCTCCGCCGCGATTCACACCAGGGGAATCTTTTCACCTCCTACAGCTGCTGCTCCGGAAGAAGAGCAAGGGATTGTTAACAAGCGGAATCCCATATTTTTGGGCGTTGGCGCAATTGGCGGGAGGAATCATTCAACTGTTGCTGCTGAATTTTCTAGTGGGGTGAGGCCGTGGACTCGTCCCTTATCTCCTCATCTTCCGGTCTACAAGCCGCAGTCCAATTCGACGTCTTCCATTTTCAATAGAATTGCAGGAGTTTACCTAACTGCCGTTGTTTTGGCTCCTTACTTTCTTTGTATGAAAGTAGGGACGGTGGCGTTTACCTATGACTACGTTTATCAGCTCTTCTTTTATTCATCGAAGCTCGTCCCTATCTCCGCCGAGATTGCTGCCTTAGCCTTGGGATATCATGTGTACAAAGGGATCGGTCATTTAGTCGCGGATGCTTCCGGCAAAGTGGGTAAAGTTAAAAGGCATTGAAACGGATGCATTTTGGCATGAGGGATCTGGCTTGTTTTTAAGGTTATAAGAATCTGAAATCTCAAGAATGAATTTGGCATTATGTTATCCTTTGTTTTGTTATTTGGATTTTGCCCAGGAGCTAAACAGATAAGTTTTCAGCTTTCGGAATAATGTATGGAATTTGGCTTGTTTTTCTTGTTTGTTTGTACCAGATTCTTGAATAATTTGGAAATAGTTGTTCACTTTAAGGTAGAACTCATATGGCTGTTGGGATATCAGAGATATATGGTTGAACTTATAAGACTTAATTCTGTGTTTTTTATTATTGTTGTATGATGCAGTATATGGTTGAACTTATGAGACTTAATTCTATGTTTTTAATTATCGTGGTCTGATGCTGGACAGAATCTGAGAATCATGTTAAGATGTTAGGAAATACTACTTGGAACCTATGATCTTAAAAAGTTTTTGGTTTTCTCCCTAACAATGCTGAAACTTAAAAGGCGGAGATATCTATTATAAACAGGGCTTGCTGAATATATGTAATTTTTACCTTTGATGATATAACATTGTCGGAAAAGAATTCTTTCCCTTGGCGTCATAGTTTGTTTCATCAAAGAGAATTCCTTTCTCTTCGTGCTTCTGCGGGCATCATTTTCACTCTTTTTCCTGATGTGGTTTCTAGTTGGGTAATGTGATATTTCTTTTGTAAGCTATGGGGTATAAGAAGCAAGAATCCTATGAAAAACATAATGAATCTGTTATGAATGGAGTACAAATGAACTTATGATTTGATATCTGTTTTGCATGCAGTGGGGCAAACTATCAAATTCATTTTTAGCTACTAGCTTATCAATGATTCTGAAGTTTCTGTTGAGTGTTTGTTTGTTACTGAAATTGCACTTTTCAGTGAAAGTTTTTTTGCCTAAATGTTGGGTAGTTGTGATGTTTATTATCTCTAGTGTTCCTTTAGTTCTGAAGTAGAACATATCTGCTGCCCCCTCTCCACTTTTGAGAGTGTAGATGTAGATGATGAACGGTATGTCAGTCCTGGGTTCTCTATAGAAATATGGTTTGTTCAATCATTGGGCTAATAGAACTGATTTTGATGCTGCAATTTCCTAGTTTCTGGGGATTCTATATCAGAAAGTCATCATACTCACCCTTGTCCGAGTTTTGGTTCGAAAGAGTAATCACAAATTAGAACTGTTGCAACCTGAAAGCTGTGATGTTTATATCTAAAAGTTCATCATGTGTGCATGAGTGTGTGAGGAAGTGTATAGTTTCTGCTCCATAAAGGCTACTGCCTCCGTCCCAATTCTATACTCCAATTTGTCATTTTATTTTAAGTTAAAGAAAGTGAACTGTTAAAGTGGATAATTGCATTAGATTTCATGTTACTTCTGCTTATCAAATGATTACGTGAAGATTTGGATTGCCTCCATGAAATTCTGAAGTGTTCAGGCATTTTTATATGTTGCTGTGGAAAGGCAAATATAATTAGTTATCAAAATTGTGAATGTATCTTTCAGTAACTGCTAAGCCTCAATTTCAGTATTGTGATTTGACGAGCGGATCCTGGCTGAAATTAGGATTGATTTTGAAAGGATTTTGTGTAAGTTGTATTTATAGTATAGAACAAATCGACATCAGAGATCACTGAGTTCTTCTGTCAAATCTAACTCGGGTAGGATTTAGGAAAAATACATATACAATGAAACAATGTGAAGATTGGCAAATCAGTCGTGAAATTGTTGCAGACTGACAACAGCTTATATTTACAAAAGTTTAATCAGGGGAGTTCTCCCGCCAACATGATTGGCCAAAAAACACCAAAGTCCGTGCTAGACAAACCTAAAGCTGTGTGGACTGGATTCAGCGTATTTTACACCGAAAAAGATGAAAAACGAGATACAACACAAAATTCAAAACTCAGCATGAATCTCTCAACCGGACTCTGTTTTCCGTTCTCAAGGATCCTTCTCAAGATTTTACATCCTTGAGTACCCCTCCTTTTTCCAGTTCACTTACTAAGTCCCTCAATGCTGGTACCTTCATGGCTAAAGTCCTGTACAATCTAGAATATCTAGCCCGAGTACCGTCCGCCGTCCGAGCAAGAGCAAGCAAGCTTAGAGCCTCCGGTAGTTGTACAAATAACCCTTTCATTTCCTCCAAACTCATGTTTTCCAAAACAGTCGGTTTTGGAACCACCCTCACTATCTCGCCACACTTTGGTTCTTGAACCCGAGAGTCAGCCTTGACCACCAGTTCAGAGCTTGAGTTAGCCCCACATTTTATAATGAATGGTGTGGTTGACCCCGTGTTAAACTGCAAAACATTCCACTGCGCCACCTCAGTTTCGGCAACAGATCCCATGCCAGTTGTAACTTTTGAAGCGTTTGTTGTGTGATGTATTTGATCCTCCTCTTCTGTTACAGACTGTCAAAAATACAGAAGCAACACATTAGTCAAGAAAACCAAGCTTAAGGCAATCGATATAAGAAGATACCATACAATCTCACTCATCAATGTAAATGCGCCACCCACAATATGTAATTATTCATGAAACATAATGTTTCGAGTTTCAAGAGCAATCTGGCATAAAATTCAAAAAGAACGACAATTTCACCTCTACAGCTTTGCGGGCCTCAGCAATGTGCTTCTGAGCACATGGGTGATCAATTTCCAGTAGAGAAGGCATTCGATCTGAGAGTTCTTCTAACAATGAAAGCATTGATCGTTTCTTACTCTTGCTTAGAGTCCCCGCTGAAGACTGTCTCACTACATCCTGTTGAAAGAATGCCATTTTTACGTTTATATTAGCTTCATAATTTAAGGCAAATTCATTTGATCTCCACTGAGGGGAAATTACAGATAGAGAACCTTCGCTTGCTTCAGAATGCCATCTAGGGACACTAAAGATGCTAGCCGTGCATCCTCCGTTGCAGTAGAAGGATTTCTGATGGGTGAGCCACTGCCTGCTAGCGTCAACAATGCCGTGTCACTTCTCATTTGTTGCAAAATCTATCAGCATAAAGAGGAAAGTCAAAGATCATACTTAAGAAGATGTTGCACAGATTGTGATAACCAAATTTGAAAGAGCCAAGCATATATATTGCATATAATTGCTTTGCAGCAATAGACAAGCCCAGAAGTAGCATCAATAAGTTAGTAAGACATACTATAGTAGTATGCAGATCTCATGCAGGGTAGTGATATATGACAGTCAAGGGAACATTGTATTACCTTTCTTCTCTTGTGATCGACAGACTCCAGAGCTGATCGCAATTTAGCTACTTGTGCAGAATCCTCTGCTATTTCAGTTGCCAAGGTACCAGCGATATCCTGATGAAAGGGGAAAAACTAAATATAAGCAAGCAGCAGATAATTTAGCCTGCTTAGAGCACTGTTGGTTAACATGCAAAAATCAGCTCTTCTAGCTAACATTTTGAAATTACATCCAGCAGCTGAAGTGGTAACTTCTAGTCATGGGACTCTAGTGTGAAAAACACCAAAAAACCAACTTGCATATGTAGCTGTAGAGGTTAAAAGAGGAATATATGCATGTTATTAGTTCTGATCTGGTCATTTCAAAACCACAGAACCTTTGAGAACTTAACGAGCCAAAAAATTATAAAAAGAGACTGGTGTCTGATTTTGCCACATAAAACTAGGACTTCCAAATTATTTAAGCACAAAAGAAGCCAAAGGAGAAGAAATCACCCAAAACTACTGTATGTCGACAGATTAATTCATCATGACAGGTTGCTAGATTATGGTAGTAAGAAAAGGCAGCTAAAAATTGACAAAAGATATACCTTCAAATGCTGCAATTGAGAATTATAAACTCTCTTTGCATACTCGGACAAGAGCTGTCCTAGTGCATCAGTAATAGGTGGCTGAGCTGCCCCAAGTCCAGCCATCCAACCATCCATTATTGCAGTAGAAAGAAGCTCTAGTTGACCAGTGGCTCCCCCAATTGTATCATCAGTTACACTCAGAAAATCAAAGTTCTCGGAGAGCCAATTTCGGATCTGCCTCTGAAGCTCACCTGCTGGAGTGTGAACGAAAAGAGCTGCCAGAGCCCTGTTTCCTACAGCAAAAATTTTGGCTTCTTCAGTTATTTCTCTAAGCTTTCCACCTGTCACATGTTGTCTCCATGTTTCCTACAGAAATTTTCAAGCCCATTAATAGAGATCAGTGGAGAACCTCATAAGTCCTGAGATGAACTTCTGACGTAGAATCAAATAAATAGTGAGCATGGTTTATGAAGATGAAATCAAACAGAAGAGCATTACCTACGAAGGTTATCATTGGTCTATGGAGTAAAATAAGTATAATAAGGAAGAAACCAAATCCACCAAAGAGTATATACTTGAATGAATCGAAGGTATATATTACCTGATCAATACCACGTATCTTTAAAACTACAGATGATAGTTTTGACTTCTTTTCTGGCTTAATGTTAACTTTAAATCCTTGAATTTGATCGTCTACCAGAGCATTCTTAATACCAGAGTCGTGCCGCACGGGGGATCTTCCAGGGCTGCTACCTCTGCTAGAGCTTCTGCTGCGCCCACTGTTAGCTTTCTCCAAAAACCGATCAACAGGAGGAACCTGATAGCATAAGGTATGTTTAGAATTGTAAAACCTAAGCAAACTCAAAAGACACATGCGTGAGATCATTTTAACCAAGCAATGAAAGGACCAAACAAAGTTCTTTAATACCTTGATAGATTGCAGCTCAGGGGATCTTGCAAGTAAAGATCTAATATAGAGAATCCTAACACGCGAAACAAGCATGGTATCCATCACCCTTTTGGGCTCCATTTTACGAATAAAACCGAAAACAGCATCTCTTATTTCTGCCAAAATTTCATGCTCCCTCGAAGCACCAGCTTTGATGACAGCGGCTAAAACCTGCAAAGTTTAAATCACATAATCATTACTGTGTAAGACTTCATCGACCCTAAACCACAACTTTGTGCAATAAGTCACAAATTAAAAATCGAGACATAATCTTATTCTTACCAGCATTAAAAGCTTATTTGCCCCATCCGAAATTGCAGCTAGACTGTCATACTGTTCAGGATCAAAATCATTTAGGGCTGAAGTAAGGTATTCTCCAGCTGGCGTGGTCTTGACTTTCTCAACACCAGATTTAACCAAAGTAATGGCACCTTCACTCTTGTCATTAGCCAAAGACGAAGGAGCATCCACCGGTTGCCCTTTAGCATTATTATCGTTTCTGACGCAAGAAGAAATGTAAATAACTAGAAAATTCTAAACAGTTATTCTCTAAGCAGTCCACAAAGGATACCTTGTTATGTTTGGAGCTGTACTTGTTGGACCTCTAGGGACTGGGCTGGAAACCTAAAACAGACACGCACCAAAGTGAACTTTTAGGCATCTTAAATCATATAACCATACTATTGAAAATTTGAATGTCTATGCACCATATTCATCAGCTAGTGTAATGTTAGCATATGCTGTATTAGAAAACACACATGAATTTTCAACCCTGAAGCACTATCAAGCTAAAACCAACCATTCAGAACAAACTTTTGAGTTTTCATGTCAATCCTGCCCTGATAAACAACAGTAATAAGTAGTTCAACACTCAACCCCATGACTAATGCATCAATAAATAGGAGATCGGTTAGCGCGAATTTTAAGAAAACAGAACAGCCTCAAAACGAAAGAATCAGAGTAAATTGCACGCAAAAGATACTAGAAGAGAGTTAAAAGTTTACCTGTGTTGATCCCGCTGAAGTTGCTTTTTCTGTTAGTCTGTCGAACAATCTCTCATTCTCTTCATGTAACCTCTAAAAAAGGTAGAGACATAATCACTATCCAAACAATCTGATTCAGAAAATAGAATCGCTGAAATCTGATGCTTTTAATACTAAACTTAAACATAGTCAAGCCAAAAGATAGTAGCCAAATGTCCACAAAGAATGTTAAATGTTCAAAATCAAATAACCCGTTAACCCAAAAAAATATATATGCACATATAAAGAGGGGAACTCAATCCACCAAATACACCATTTTTCTTGCATTTCATAAAACCTTAAGGCTTTGGATCGCTTTATTCGTCATGTACATTCTATCTTTTCCATATACTACTCTATTTTGCCTCACTTTTACCCACGATAAAACATCCCGCCAGGGAGGAAAGTGTCACAAGGATCCTAAATTTGAAATAGTTTCCAACCCCCAATGTGAGGAAATTGAACAATATGTGTGCAACTTGGTGCAGCAGAAACCCACAGCTTCCATCTTAGAATTCAATATATACCAGCTCAAATAGAACAAAATGAGTGAAATACCTCAATAAGTGCATCCCGTTTCAGAAGCTCCTCTTCAAGTCTTCTAGTAACAGCTGAAGAATCCATGCTGTCTCCCATCATTTTGGAATCCAATTGAACTTCAGACTTTGACTCCACTCCATTCGCTGACCTACCATCACTCCGATGAAGCGCTTCACTTAACTGGGATTCAAGGCTCTTTAGTTTGGCCTAAACAAAAAGTAAGAACAAAAACATTGAGCAATTTAGTATAAAAATGCACAGCTCACGATGCATGAATCTAAAAAATACACTCTTCGATCTATAAAGTAACTGGTCAGGAAATAATGTTTGAGAATAGCAAATTTACCAAATACAGTGTTTGTAACAATGCATGGAAACAAGGCAGCCACGAGATAGAATAAAGAGAGATAAAAGAGCAAAGGACCAGAAACAAGATACTTCCACCTGTAAACTTTGAATAGTAGAATCATATTCTTGCATCTGTACTTTCTGATCCTGCTCTGACTGTAATAATTGAGCAACTTGACTTCTAAGTTGAGTATTTTGCTCTTTTTCTATTCTTAGCTTGTCAGTAAGCATAATGTTCTCTGACTGCAAAAAAAATGCAAAAAATAAACGTCAGAAACATGATGTTTGTCAGAGTAAAATTTTACCTTTGGATAAAATGTAAAAACTTTCAGTGAACAACTTAATTGTTAAAACAATATCTACATTCTGAAGTATCCCATCTACATTTCTAATCTATCTGTACACTTTCTATCTCCTGCAATCAGTCCACAGTCAGTCAGAAATACCAATTTATTCTTGCTCCTCTGCCCACTCACACAACACACCAATAACTCTCCATCTCACATGGAGTTTATTGGTCTAGAGAGAACAAAATTTATGAAGAAGTAATAGCTCAACGCTGTTAACATTCAAAAATTCGAAAAGTGCATGGCAGAAAATTTTGGCCAAATCTCTAATTGCTTAGTAACCAGCGGATAAATTTCTCCAGAAAAAATATTTGACAAGTGTCTGTTGCAGACAGTGATGATAAAGTGGATTATTTACAAAGAACTTTGGCACGCAAAATTCTGAAATGGATAGTGATAAAATTGTTGTAGGGCTACAAACCTTTAAATCAGATTGTAAAGTAAAAGAAACTTTCCAAGCCTTCTGAACTTCATTGAAGAGAAGAACACACTGATCATTCGCATGTTTCAGAGCTTGTTTATAACCCAAAACGTCTTGCTTCAAGCTTTCAACTTCAGCCTCCTTTTCATACAATTCTTTGCGGGCATCATTTGCCTAAATACAGATCAAGATACAGCATAAGATAACCCAGTGTTAACATCATTTGATCATTATGTAATGGCCATAATCATTAAATAACCATTTCTATTTAGTCAGAGTTCAGTGTGATTATTTGCCTAACTGAGAAATTCCAGTCTAAACCATCTGAACGTTCTTTACATGTTTCTATGATCACCCAGACCCGATCTACCGAAACTCAAAAAAAAAAAAAAAAAAACCTCAGGGAGCATCAAACTAGAAATTATCCTTAGGTCCATATCAGCAAAATGCTAATCTCATAAAGCAACCAGATTCAGTAATACACTACGTCATTTATGAATCTGAATTTAAAGATTAAAGCAGAGATTCAAATATTTCTTACAATATCTCTCCACTTTTTTATTGTATCTCGATTTCCAAGACTCAGAATAGAACTTCGGGCCCTGGCAGAAAAGTTCAGGGATGATAATGTCTCGGCCAGATTTGCTGCATTTGGACAGATATTAACGATCATCAAAGTCTTTGAGTTATTATCCCCTGCATTGGCAACATACAGAAATTTAAAGTTGGTCTAGAGTTCATATTTCAGGCTTGAATCAGTACAGAAGAAGAAATTACTACTGCAGTAGATTCATACTGCAGAAACAAAATTAAGAAAATATTTACATGACTGACTTTATAACCTGCACAAAGAGTGCTCAAGATCCAATTTGCAACAATCGAACCAAGTTACTAAAGTTCAGCAGGCAATTTAAATAATTAATCCAATTGAAATACTCACACACAAAAGAGCGCTCAAGATCCAACTTGACACATTCACTAAGTTATCAAATCTATCAGTGGTATTTCAAACATTGACAAAGGTTGGGGAACATCTGGAAGTGGATTGAGAAATCAAGTGACGAATGATGATTAGATGCAGGAAGTTTAGAGCTAGTGAACAGTGTAATCTTCATGAGATAGGTACTTTTGAATAGGTGAATATTATTCTGATGTTGGGTGTAGTTTGCAGTATTTTTGGCAAAACCATGTACAGAGTTTTGTTCGTTTGAAGAGTGAACAGTCTAAATTACCTTTCTACCTTAAAAAAGTGAAATTCATGTACATATCAAACAGCAATCATTTTCATTAAGTATCCTTTGTACAGCTGATAATGATTTTTATCAAATTTTAGTTCCACAACAAAGATTATGAGCCCCCCTCTAGCGTGCAACTAAAAATTGTGAAGATCAAACGAAAGCCTGAATAACATATCCCCGGAAAAAAGAAAGAAAAGAAACAAAACATCGACGACCATGCCATTTTGACACCATATCTAGTCAAATAAAACTCCAAAGTATCAAATATCAAACACAATAAGAGGTGCCAACTTAACAACAGTAGCAGAATTTAACCACAAGTTCTAATAGAAGATAAAATTACCTAGTGAGTCTGCAAGTAATTTGGTTAACACAGAATTTCCATAAGGAACTACTTCTTTCTTTGAAGTCAACGAGGCCAAAACATCTCCCAAACTGCACAGACAGCCAGCAAGCACAAGATATTGACAAGCATGAGCCATCAGAATCCCAAAGCTTTTGCGCAAAAGAAATGACAGACACTGAAAATCAAATAGATGCTTTCCGCAGCAAGTACAAAACTGATTCAGTTTCCAATGTTAGAAATTTGATATCCCAAGTTGCATGCGCCAACTAAGTTGGGAATATACTGGGTATGTTGTTATTGTTATAAGTTGCATACGCCAATTGTAAGTGTCCTACAGACCAACAGAGTCAACCATTTGCCTTTTCGTGCATAAGGTCACTTTAGAATGAAATCTACAAGAACTGGCTCATGCTTTCAGACAAAACTACTTAGAGGAATACGCTAAAAATAAGAGCCAATGCAATAAACGGCACTTTGGACAAACCATTAATTTCAGTCAAGAACCCAAAAAGATCCCCACAGTAAGGAAATAAACCAATTAGACATAACATGCGAACGTGCAGATTTACATACGCAGACAATGACTTCATTGCATGCAGCCGGTCTGTCACTTGTTCCCTGCCATCATCTTCTGCAGAGGAAGTTTCACTTCCAGCCAAATCAACAAGGGAAAGCTTGCTATACAAGTTCTCACCGGTGATCAAATTGTTGTAGAATATGTGTAAGGTAATAACCCTGAGGAAAGAAAATCACAACCATCAAAGGAGAGACCATCAGATTACAGCGATGATTTGAACATTGAATAAAATAGCGATGCTTCAAAATTGAACCAAATAGAGAGGATTCAAACATCAAACACCAGCGTAATAGTGAATGTTATGAATAGATAGGTTTTTCCTAAGTCTGAAATACAGAATTATTTAAGAAAGGAAACACAAGCTTTTGTGAAAATGGAGAGAGCATAATGCATGACGCAAGGGCCACCACTGTTTCCAGCAAACTTATGAAGGAAAGGAGTTTCCATATTTTTACACTGGTCAGCCATATTCTCCAATTTGTGTCAGAACGGGGTGAAAAAAATTGGAGCACTTGCTCAAGAAATTCCTTATCCTATGATTATGCCAGGTGTGTGGGTAATCATGCCAAGTCGTAGATTAAATCCATTAGTATAAATGCATTGGGAGAAAAACAAGCCCATAAGGTGAGGATCAAACTTGAAGTTGGACCATACAGATGAGAAACGTTAAACTGTAGTCCATCAGTGCCTCGATTCTGGAATGCCACTTTGACAACTCGAGAAAAATCGATAGGATTATCAACCTTTTCAGGCACGAGTTCTACTAAACAATCTGTTGAACCCACATTGATCTTTGGAAGACCACTCCGAGATTCCAAAAGCAAATCTCTGATCTACAGATAAAAGCATGGCCACTGTGAGAGTATATCTAAACAAAAGCCAAAAGTATGAGAAGTTGAGAAGAACAGATAAAAGAACCTGTTCATTAAAAAGCTCAAAGGCTGTAACCGAGAAATTATATTTCGAGGTAGAGGTTGTATCTGAGTTGGATAAATCAAATAGCTCCTCAAAACACCGGGCATATAGACCACGGTCATGGCTAGATCCTTCCTGTAGACATATACATACAGTGAGAGAAGCATTTCTACATAAAAGCATAACACTTAGAATTGAACTGGAGAAGAAAGAAACTGTCTCCTTAATGTGTTTGTTCAATAATGATAAAGAATACTCCACATCAATTCCTTTCTATCCACATATAGCAATGTCATGATTTTTACCACAAATACAAGTAGAATGACACTCGTTTCAAGACTAATTTGATGAAGTAAAATAAATTGGTCAGACGTAAGAGAGACAAGAAGGCAGTTCTCCAAAAGAGAGACATAGAGAGAGACGGGGGAACAGACCATGGTATGTGTTTTTCCTGAGTGCGTCTGTCCATAAGCAAAGATGGAAACATTATATCCATCAAATGCAGACTGCACAAAAGGCTGAACATCCGCAAAAAGTTCAGCTGCAGATTTGAACATCAAACTGATTTAGGACTCAAAAGAACAAGAAATAAAACAAAGGAGAACATGGGCGACAGGGCAGTACCTTGAGTGATGTGAGGAGCATAAACCCGATCAAATTCAAAATCCTTCTTTGGATTGGAGACACTATCATCACCAGTATTGACACGAACTGTACAATCATCTGGGAATTCCAAAACTGATGGACCTTCGTCTTCGAAAAGTGGCCTTGCACGACAAAATACTTTAATACTTCCTGAAATCCAAAATCCAGTTAAATTACAGACTGCAACATAAGACTTAAAACTTTCTCTCCTTCTTTAATGTATGCATGTGTGGATCTAGGCACACAATTTTCATATCAGTTCTAGACAAAACTTTGTTTTTCTCTCTCCAACTCTCTCCATATATTTGTGCAGACATGAGAGAAATAGTAGCAGCGTAATTTTCAATTTGAAGCTTAAGGAAACTACCTTTAGCGGTCAATAAATCATTGAACAATTTTTTCTTCTCATATATCAATGGAGATATTCTAGCTTCAGCCTCAAGAGCAGCCTGATCTGAAATGCCGATCATAAGACAAAAAAGATAAATGACAATCAGAATATTATATAAACAAGATATGCAAGGATAACCCGCAACCATGAGAGTAGAAGTGATGAACCTCTAAGCTGAACAAAAGATGGAGAGTATCATGGAATAATCTAAAGCATTGTGAAAACTAAATCAGCTTTATGGCAGATAGAACAAGATAGAAGTTTTAACTTATGATAATATATAAGTTGCAACTAATGATATATAAACTTCCAAGAAGAGCTAAAGCCTTAAAACAAAACTACACCAAAGCAGCATTAGTCATTTACTCATGACAGGTATGAGACAACCATCAGAAATGTAGATATAGGGAATGATGTTGAACAAACTTGATCAAGACTATCCGAATTCTATCACAGGGTTCAAAGTAGAGTTCGCATGATTACCTAGCTTGCGTGTTTTATCTGCAAGTACACCTAGATAACGGGTCACACGATCAATCTTTGCATTTGAATACTCTTGGAGATCGATAGCTTCTTGTCTCAACTCCAGGTAATCATCTTTCACATGCTGTTCAGAAGTTTACACAAGTTGTCAATAAAAAGTGCAGCATGGTATAAGAAAGATAACCACACATACACTCAGAGACCATAATGAGAGGTCAATCATCCCATGCGGAATGGGATTTGTACACAACTGATCATCGTATTGGCTTCCGCCACTTATCACCAGCTAGATAATTGCTAATGGAAAAAGCAAAATCATCTTGCAACCACTCAAATTATTCTCACTACTACTATTTGGAGATGAAACATGAGAAAGATCAAAAGCTGTGACTACAAAGTTCCTTTATAATATCCTTTAAGGGATCTGTTAGCTAACCAAAACTTTAAGTACACGTCACTGTGCTTGCTTCAGTCTCTGTGCAGTTGCATTATCCTCTCAGGTAGCTACCAGATCAAGCTTGACCTTAAAGCCATCAGAAATTCAGCTCAAATATCTCTTACGGATTTGAGGCAAATCTTAAAGTTTCCCCCTCTGGGTAACCATTAGTCATTGTTGATGTTATCTTTTACACATAACCATCAAAGAATCAGAGTATAATTCACTTGATTGAATCACATGCTGAGTCAAAACTGTCTTCACGAAATCACTGCACGTTGATATCGTATGCTTAGTTCATTTACGACTGCATTAGTCTTTAGTCTTTAAATTATTGACTAATATAGGAACAAACTTGCTCCCTAAGACTAAAATAGGTTAAAGGAATTTCCTTTCTCGCAACTCCAGCTATGAATAACCATTTATCACAAGACAAGTAAGAACTTAACTACTAGCTTAAATAATCAGAAAAGAAGACAAAACAAATATAATTATTTGCCAAAATTACACAAAAACATATTTGCCAAAAAGGCAATCCATAATTAGGTTTACAAACACAAAGGCAGAAAGGACCAGAATTCGAACAAATTTCGTAAACGTCTAAAATAATAATGAGAAATTGCAGAAATTATCACCAACGCAGTGTCTTTAACCTTTACCAAATATGAACCTCATTTTGCTATAATTAAAATTCAAAAGCAAATCATCCATAGTACTGTCCTAAAAAAATGTTTAAAGAAAAGAGGAGATGGACTTGAGCTTTGCAACCAACAGATCCTAAACCAACAAAACCGTTAATGCCATTAGTAACAAGCAACAGCGCCAGAAACAGAAGGCATTTTCAACTACATTGCTTCTAAGTGCACTTAAAGAGCTAATAGCAGGGGCAGGCTCTATTGCTTTCGTACCGAAAGTCTCAATTTTCCTTGTTCCATTCGGAGCATTCAAAAAAAAAAAGGAAAGGAAAAAAAATAGTAGAGTTATTCACTATCAGAAAAGTTGAGCTGGGAAAAAAAGAGTTTAAACCTTGACTTTATCCTTCAATTTGAGAAGCTTAGAGCTGAAAGCAGGTTTGGAGAGCTCGGAATACGGCGAAAGCGAAGCAGCTGAGACGGAATACCTCCGAACCAAGGGCGCTGGTCGTGGATAATGCTCCTCCCGCTCCGATGACTTCCTCGGCGGCTCAAAACCCGTGACCTCCCAATTCCACCGATTTTCAGTCCTCCCGCTTCTCTGCTCCGCCATTAATAATTTATGAAATATTTACAGGAAAAGAAGCGCCTGAATATCTTGTTCCCTCCTTAATACACCAAAATCAAATCAAATCCGAAGCTTCAAAAGAAAAAAACGAAGTTGAAAGGAGAAAAATGATGATGATGAACGCTTTTCTTTTTCTCTCTCCTCACTTCTCTCCCTAGCTTTTGTGGCTCATCACTGCTCACTCCAAATGAATTCCCTCTTTTCCAATTTCAGATTGGGATTTTGAGTTTTATGAATATTTTATTTTTTTTACAGTTTGAATTTTTAATGTTTAGACATTTAACCAATTTGGTCCCTGAATTTTCTATTTCAGTCAATCTGAGTTTTTATTTAGAATATCAATCTGAGTTGTTTCTTTTGTTTCTATTAATATTAATAGTACCCAAAATCTATTTTTAATGTAAATACTTTTTTCTGACAACTATAATTTCATTTTGTTTTTATTTGTCAACAGAGGAAGTAATTTAAGGAGCTAAATTTAAGAACCTTTTCAATATTATTTCTATCAACTTTAATTATACTGAATTTATAAATTCTACTAAACTGTATTCAGAGCTAGATCAAACTAATAAATGCCCTAAAGCGAGTATTTGAAATGATGCCTTTCAAAAATTAGTTTGAATTATTTTCTTTTATTTTATTTATTTATTTATTTATTTATTTTTGTGTATGCTACTAAGCAATTATCTTTTTTCATTATTTGAACCGATAGGTGTGAACCTAAAGTTTATATATGAATGTTAAAAAAGGTCAATATAAGTACATAATTATAATAAACTTTCAATTACTTCTTCTCTGATTTCATTATGTAACAAATTAAAATTTTCACTTATAACAAACTTTTATACTCCCTCCTCCATAGAAAAACAATTCACATTGAATTTTGAGATGTGTATGACTATTTTGGGGATAGAGAGAGTAATGATTAAAAGATAATTCAATTAAACAATAAAAGATACTAATTATACATACATTAGAACTTTACAAAAATATATGAAATTAACAAAAAAATCTCACATAATTGTCATTTCACACACTAGTTTAAAAGATATATAATATGTATACATGATTGGGAAAAAAATATAACAAAAGAATGAATCACAATAGTGTTAGAAATCATCCAATTGATTGGTATAGTGAGATGATGATGAAATTATATATTAAGAAGATTGAGTATAAAAATTAAATAATTAAGTTAGACAATTTTTGGAGACAAAAAATTTTTTGGATTTGTTACCATTTAACGTTAGAAACAAAACTATATAAAAATTGGGGCCTAAATTAAAGAATTAAGGTATTTTATTATTCTATCTTTACAATTAATTTATCTTTTTATATATATATTTTTATCTTTTTTATATTTTAAATGCTAAACAAATAAGAAAGACCTACTAAAATTGGGGTCCTTCGAAATTAGGAGACTCGAGCCCTAGTTTCACTAGCTTTATAGTAGAGTCGGCAATGATTATAATGTTTCTCCAATGAGAATCTACTTTCAACTCAGAAATCTAAACCCACAAAACACAAGACGTGTAAAGCATTGAAATTAGTGCAGAGGATTACAATCTTGAAATTCTTATTTAAAAATTCCTTTAAAACTAATTTACATGTGCGAGTTTCTACTCGTGAAGGTGGTAAATCATGTGAAAAATAAAATGTAAAATTTGGATAATTTGTATTTAAAAATGTTAAAATGTAGAAGGTCCACACATCTGTTAGTAGTTGAGACAATATATACATATACAACGTAACAAAATTTTACAAACTCTCATATTGGAAAAGGATTCGATTACAGCATGGACTCAAATTGATACTGAAGGAAACAAAAAGGACTGAAATTGTAATAATAGAATCAGGAATAGAGGGAGTGATGTGTAAAGGGGCCACTTGATAGCATCGGGAGTCACACAAAAAACTAGCGCTTCTCAAAATTTGAGGACTCGCTGTCGTTACGATTCTCACGAAGATGGGTTGTACGTTTCGCTGTAGATGTTGTACCTACCAGTAATAGCTTCTTTTTTGCGGGGGCTTTTATTTTGTTTTGGGGTTTAAGAGGGAGTAAAATTTGAAGAGATAAGGAGCACGTGAAGGAGAGGGCGTGCTTGTGTGGACCTCCTTCATTGGCTGTCTACTCTGTTACCTGTTTGCCAAATGTAATGATTTGGCTTGATGACATGTCATCAGCCCTGGCGTCGTGGGTCCAAGAATTCAAAAAACAAAGATCTGTAAAGTGTAAAACTAGCCATCACGTAATGTGCTAGTGCTAATTTCACAAAAATCTTGGATTTTCTTTTTTTTTTTTTTTACAAAAAATGTATTGGTAAATACTCTCTTTATTACAGTTTATAATTACATAAGTTTTATTAAAGTTCATGCATTACAGGGTGGAGTGTTTTCAGGAGATACTATTTTACATTAATTGGTCTAATTGATTTTATTCTTCCAAAAAAAGTGCACGGGAAAAACAAAACATACAATGTATTTTTTTCTCCCTCATTTATGCTCTCCAAAATTCATAACTCAATGTTGTTGTGGCTGTAATTCCCACCAGATCTTCTCACACCCAATCCTTTTTTTATATATATAATTTTTTTTGGTTCCATATCTTCTGTTAAATTAATGTATGTGTATTAATGGAGAACTAAAACAAACTAAAAACAATTAAATGAATCTCACAAGGCAATTATCCTAATCCCAAATTCTCCTGATCAGTAGCATTTAATGTTGTAAGTTTCCTCCATATTTATGTTTTCCTTGTAGTTCATGCTTTTCGTAACCGATGTATTAATTTTTTACTACAGATACTATTTATAACATTTTTTTGTCAATTTCTTTTTCCTTTTTTATTGGGAGAAAAATGGTAGTAAACCATGCTTTTTTGGCGACATTGTTCGTGATCGATGTTCTTCACCACCGTATGATCACGACTTCATAATTCTTGGGAACTCAGATTTTTTTCTAAGGGGAAAAAAAAAAATTCCCAAGATTCTCCCATTCAGAAGCAGTGGCTTAGTGATTTTTTTTTAAGGTACGAAAATTGCATTGTCTATTTTGCTTTCTTTCAAATTCTCCATCAACATTTTTACTTTGTTTTTTCCTCTGTATACGTATATCATCTATTTACATGGCTCCTTTTTTTGCAGTAGAATTGAGCACAAAATGCAGAGGAAGAAAAGGGATAAACTACGCATTGTTACGATCAGTTCCCTGATTTTGGCATTAATAGTATCATGCTTTGCAAGAAGTAACAAAGCTGTTCACGAAGATTTCCTTAATTGCATGTCCACCAAAGCTTCTTTCTTAAACAGAACATCAGTCCAATTGCAGAAATATGTACACAGCCAAAACTCCAGTGATTACAAAATTTTATTGCGTTACGGTGAGAAAAATCCCAGGTGGATTAACACATCATCAGCCTCCCCACTTGTTGTGATCACCCCAAATGACGAGTTCCAAATCCAACACACCATTTTGTGTTCCCAAAACTTTGACTTACAAGTGAGAATCAAGAGCGGTGGACATGATTACGAGGGACTTTCGTATCGATGCCAGACTCCATTTGTGCTGATTGATCTGTACAAAATGAAAAGAATCAAGATCGATTTGAAACGAGAAACCGCCTGGATTCAAACTGGCGTGACACTAGGACAACTTTACTACGAGATTGCAAACAAAAGTAATGTCCATGCATTTCCCGGAGGATTGTATCCAAGTGTTGGGTCGGGTGGGTTGATTAGTGGTGGAGGATTTGGTACGTTGGTCAGAAAATACGGTCTCGCAGCCGATAACGTAATCGATGCCAGAGTTATGGATGTTAATGGGAGGATTCTTGATCGGAAAACCATGGGGGAGGATTTCTTTTGGGCTATAAGAGGAGGAGGAGGATCCAGTTTTGGTGTGATACTGGAATGGAAAATTAAGCTTGTTAGAGTTCCTGAATCCGTAACTGCTTTTACTGTGTGGAGAAAACACAGTCCTAAAAGTATCAAACTTGTTCAAAGGTGGCAAAAAAGGGTAAATAAATTTCCTGAAGATCTGTTCATGAGAATCTACTTTCAAAATCCCGAACCAATTATACCAGGAGGGAAGCGAATTATTCAAGTTTCATTTCAAGGGCTATATCTTGGGACAGCTGACAAGCTTATTGAATGGCTACATCATAACTTCCCGGAATTTGAATTGAATCTCGAAGATTGTTCAAAGGGCCGGGTAGTTAAAAAGGGTTGCAAACAGAGACCCTGTATCTTGAAAGAATGTTTTGAATTTCCATGGATCAAATCAGCTCTTTTTTTTGCAGGAAGAGACCCTACTAAAGAACCCTTGGAATATTTGGTAAAACCAAATCTTCCGGCCACCAATAATTTCATGAAGGCAAAATCTGATTTCGTTACAACTCCAATACCGGCAGAAGCGTGGACAATAGTGAAAAAATTGTTTCTGGAAGAAGATAGACCGTTGATATTACTGGATGCTTGGGGTGGGAAAATGAACCGAATTTCTGAAAGTGAGATTCCTTTCCCGCACAGAAAGGGGAATTTGTACAAGATAGAATACATGGTGTTCTGGAATCGAAACGACGAGGAAGAAAGCAAGAAGCATATCGAGTGGATGAGAAGGATATACAGTGAAATGGAGCCATTCGTTTCCAAATCGCCAAGGGCTTCTTACCTCAATTACAGGGATATTGATCTGGGAATGAACTCCCAAGACTATGACTACTATATATCATCGAGTTCATGGGGAGAAAAGTACTTCAAGGATAATTTCCACAGGTTGGCACTTGTGAAGGCCAAAGTTGACCCTCATAATTTCTTCAGATTTGAGCAAAGTATTCCGCCGCTTCATCAAGAATTATAGGTTATTATTATTGTTATTTTTCAGGGTAAAAAAAAAAAGATAAAAAGGATTATAGGGATAAAACTGATTGCATCTTTTGTCACAGGAAACATTTTCCATTTTTTTATTGCGTAACCTAAAATAATAGTTTTATTTTAAGAAAGCTTTGTGTAATAAATCGGCAACAATTTCTGCTAAGCAGTATAGCCGTACTGGAAGAAGTTTTATTTTGGGAATTGAAATTTTTTTTGGATAATGCCCAGGCCACATATGAAGCCTGATTGGTTTGAAATCCTACATCGGCCCAATTCCATTTCTAGTACTTCAACATTTCCAATTTTTATTTGTTCCTGAATTACACTCAAGTAATGGTCCACACTATTGGACGTGTAACATTTGAATAATTCATTACACTATTCTTTTTTTTTTTTTTTGGAAATGGAATTCATTACACTATTCAGGAAATCGGCACTGCAAGTTTAATGTAGTTTCACATATAACATATAAATGTAGTTTCACATATTAATGTAGTTTCACATATTACATATATGCTAATCCTACATAGTTCAATTCCCGAGTGCTCACTTTGCAGGGTGCAAGAGTTCATTTTGGGGTCAAACACCCATCATTATGCAGCACCTAAACCATCTTTTGTGGGCATGTCTGAAAAATTGTGTAATGAAGAAGATATTCCCCTGACCAAAACGAAAAAAAATATTTAAAAATTAAAAGGGAAAGTGCGCTGTGGTATTGGTACGGGCTAGTAGGGTGTGCGAAGTTGCAGTCACATTGACATGAATGTATCGATGCAGGGAGCCTACAGAGCAAAACTTGGGTAAACTCTTCCTCATCGAAATCAAAAATATGTCTGAATTCTAAATTTTAATAAATTTTATTAACAAGATAGACAGAATACAAGAAAATATATTTTTAAAATATAAAGACATGAGATGAAGATATTAATAAAATACGTGACACGAATTTAACAAATCAGTAAGGCAAAGAGAAAAAATTGCACACTCTTGAGAACCCCCGGTCGAAGATAATCCAATGGTTTTTGAACATGATATTATCATAGTAAAATATAGTAACATATTTTCCTAAGGTAAAAGTCGCAGGGAGTAAGTAAAGCCGTAAAGGAAGTGAGAGGTGAGGGAAAAGAAGACAGATGATACTTCAGAAAAAAAAAAAAAAAAGGAGGACGGGACAAAAAACAACAATAAAAAGAGAAAAATAAATGAAATGTGTACTAACTACACTACACTACGTACTTACTATATGGCTATACTTGTCATTAATTACTCTGATTATTAAAATCGATTTTACAATAATATAAAACAAAAATGAAAATAATATGTGGTAGAAATAAATTTTTACTAGTAATACTGTTAATCCACAGTAACATGAGGTTGGGACACGTGCGCTGTGATTTTGTCACCCATACATCCTATCTACCCAGTATCCACAGTAAACTTTATTGTGTCATTCAATGCCTTAGGCTTTGTCTCTGTATTTTCAAATTAAATTATTATTAACTTAATTATTTTAGTATATTTTTTTATATTTTTAATACATTTTTTTACATTATCAATACGAAAAACACTTAAAAACGCATACTAAAAACAAAACAAACAAACCCTTAAATAAACAAAGGGCGAACTACAATTTGCCCTCCCCCAGTTTAGGCTTGTTAACTAAATGCACCTTGAGTTTTACTAATACTACAATTTCTCTCTTTGACAGAGGAAACATATGGTCAACGCCGGAGAATTATGAAATGACGAAAAGCCCTCAGCTTATGCCGACCAAAAATTATTACTGTCTTCATTTTGAAATATATGTCGTTTTAGGATTTGATGATTTTTTTTAAATATATGTCGTTTTCACAAATTGAGGTATATTTGACCACTTTTTACCAATATTATCCTTGCATTGGAAATGAAACATTATTTATGATGAATTGCTATTGCTTTGTGATGAATTGTATAGATAATAAATAAGGGTATTTTTGTATTTTAACTACATTAATTAATATTTTCTTGATTTTGATGATTTTTTTAAGAAGACATATAAAAAAAATGAAGGGAGTAAAAAAACCCCGAATGTGAAATGGCTCTTCTTGTTTACCAACCCCCAAAAAAAGTCCTTCCTAGTTTCTCTAACGCAACACACCAAATCAATTTACCTTTTCTTCTCCGGCCAACCATTTTCAAGTTTCCAAACTAAAAAGTAAGCAACATATCGGCACTTGCATTTTCCTCTCCGGCCACAACTAAATGCACCAAATATAACGCATTTTAATTCCTCCCTCCTAATTAAATTATTCTATCTGGTCCTTAATATAACACAATATAATTTGTCTTAGATTTAATTTAATATATATTTTTAAATTGATAAAAAACTTTAAAAATATTTCATAATAATCAAAAGAATACAAAGAATGTAAATACTATATTTTTAAGATTTGTTTGTCAATTAAAAATACGTATTAAATGAAATCCAAGATAAAATCAAAATGACTTATATTAGGGACTGGATAGACATATTAAAGCCTAGGATATGGACAATTTACGTACTGCAGAGTGCAGAGTGAGCAATTCGTTTTTGGTAATTTTTGTACTATTCCAATTGATTATTATCACTAGCAGGATTTGTCTCCTTTTATAATTTTTGCAGAGTATTTATTGTGAGCAACTAGTTACATAATTTCTTTATGTAATACTCTACCAGTCCTAAAAATATATATAATTTATTCAAGTAAAATAAAAATACTACAAAGTGAGTTATTTTTCTAAGGAGTAGTATGTCCTTAATGAGTATTTATATTAGTATTAGTTTTCTTTGTTCTTTGTTGTAAAAGGAAAAAAAAGAGTAAATACAACAAGTGTCAACAACCCTTGGAACTTGGACAATCTTTTTTTTGTCTGGTTTTATACAGCTAGTGCCTAGTAGTAGTACTACTGTTGATTATTTTTATGTCTCAGTCATCCCATATGGTCCCTTTAACAAGTTGTAACATTACCAAACCAATTTAATAAGCATTAAATAATCACAGTTCCTCCTACCAAAATAAAAATTATTCACAATTCTTCCCCTGAATTTCTATTATTTTCTTATTAAATATCTCTGAGTACTAATCTTTTACTAGTTTTCTTTTCTATCAACCCTCGTTCCTGAAGGGAAAAAAATGACAGTTTAGTAGTAGAATTGAAGGAATGGATTATTAGCTCTTTAAATACCAGCAAATAACAATGCTCATCATATATTATACTTCGACAAATGCACTAATTCTCCAACATCATGATGAAGACATGATGGGAAAGAAAAAGGGAAAAATCTATTTTGGGCAACTGTAGCTATAGAAAGAAGACTTGAGGAGGCAGTGGGAACATGGTTTCACCAAAAATAGATCCATTTTCCTCTTTTGTAATTTTCTCCCTGATTTCCAAACACTTTCCTTCAACCCCCCAAAGACACCACAAAAATGGGTTAAAACTCGCACTTTTTCCACTCCCTTCCCCTTCTCCTTCTCTCTCCACCTCTAATTTGTTGCTTAGTTTCCAACAGTCCACTCCATCTTCTTGACTTGCTCAAAAAACACACAAACACACACAAAAGAACACAATCCAAAAGTCCAAATCAACCCACCTCAAACTGGTAAAAAAGCAGAGGGATCCCACCCATCCACTCAAAACACTTTAAATGGTGGGGTGGGTTACTACCTCCTCTTTTATAATATTCTAAAGCCATATAGAATTTCACTACTTCTCAGCTCCATTCTCTCTTTCTCTGTGAATTTTCTTTTCTGGATCTCAAAACTCCCAAACAATACAATGGCCAAATGAAGTGCGTTCTCTGTGTCCCCCCTTTCCTGTTTCCAGGTCTTGCTGTGTTCCCCATACTCTCTAAATTTGGCAAAAATACCGCCATTATGAAGATTCAACACCCCTTTTTCCCTCTCTATTTTTAGAAAGCTTCTGTCTTTCCTTCCTAGAGAGTAATTTTAACTCCATTCCTAACATTGTATGCTGGTTTATTCCCTAACTCCTCAAGGTGGAACCTTTTTAATCCCTGGTATATCTCAAATTTAATTATGGCTCGAGAGAAGATTCAGATCAGGAAAATCGATAACGCCACTGCCAGGCAGGTGACTTTCTCCAAGCGAAGAAGAGGGCTTTTCAAAAAAGCTGAAGAACTCTCTGTTCTTTGTGATGCCGATGTTGCTCTTATCATCTTTTCTTCTACCGGCAAGCTTTTTGAGTATTCCAGTTCTAGGTAATCTCTCCTTCTTTTTTGAAGGAACTTGAAAATCCCATCTTTCTTCCTTTTTTCTCCATGGCTTTTTTTTTTTTGGTGTTTATGGAGGAATTTATTAGTTTTTTTTTTTATTTTTAAGAAAAAGTTGTGTGATTAAAATGATTATAATATGATGCTGATCATGAATGAACGGCGTGGATAGAGAGTGAAAAATAGTTGTTGAGGGAGCCAGCAAAAAAGGTTGTTAGTTTTATCCTTATTGAGTGAAAGCATTCAGTAAAAAACAAATATTCGTGAATAGTTAGGCATCTAGCAGTATGGGAGTTGATCCTAAAATTGCAAAAAATGATGACACTTTTGAATTTCTCATTGTCTCGGTCTGTTTCTGCATGTTTTTGTTCTTTTGTCTACTTCACTATTGCTTTTTTCTGCTTTAGTCTAAGAGCTTTCTGGGAGTTTTCGTGAAAGAAATATTTACTCTTTTCTCCTTTACTTCTTTCACGAAATTCCTTCCCATGTGCAGAAGTGGGTGAATGATGATATGATATTCTTACTTCTTTTTCAGTGTCTTGGCTTTCTAGTTTATAATGTGGCCATAAAAGTAGATCAACCAGGGATCACGTTTCACGATTCACACACCATTATTGAAGATGTTATCATGTCTTGACATCAAGAACCACTACATTGTTTAATCTTTTCTAAGTATTAGTATTATTTTGTCATGGTCCACAATGAAGATGAGTCTGGACTGGACGGGCTTTGTGCCAAGTTAGCTCGGTAGCCAAGTTTGTTGAAGTACTTAGCTAACTTAAATCGAGTGTATGAACACCTTCATTGGCCTTACTACTAGTTGGCATTAGATATTAAATCTGCATCTTCCATTCTTGACACTTGACAGACATTCTATAAACCTTGTAAAAACTGATTAAGATGCAAATTGTTGCAAGTTGAAAGATAGTGAACTGAAACACCCATGTTTGACATTTTAAGTATGTCTTTGTATCATTTGCGTTCCTACTTGCATTTTTCTTATCTTATGATTAGGTATGCCATATGCATACAGCCTAGTGATTTTGGGATCAATATGAATAGTTAACCTTTCACTTCTGTAATATTTATGGCATGAAAATAAACCAGTAGGTGAAGCAGGTTGAGGGTGATTGTGTCATGTATATATGGAAGGAGTGGTTTTGAGCCTTTTGAGGCTTAATTGGAATATGGAGTACTCTGTCATCATCAGCCAATTGTTGGTTATATTTGAGGTTCTAGCCCTTTTACTCTTTATATGTTCATGTTCTCGGGAAACTTTCACTAAATGGAGGCTGGAAAAAGTAGTTAGCTTTGGTGGAATATGATATTTTTGTTCAATAATTTTGGGTGCATGGTGTGTTCTCATGATATGTAGTACCTTTTCTTGTGACTTCCAACTCTTAGAGAATCAACTAATTCCAATCTTTCTTGCCAAAGTATGAAGGAAATACTCGAGCGGCACAAATTACATTCGAAGAATCTTGATAAGTTGGAGCAACCTTCCCTTGAGTTGCAGGTGAATTTCTTTTTGTCTGTTTTCTTTATATTCATAGTTTGAGAGTTCCAGCTCAAGTAGCCGAGCCTTTCACCCGCGCAGATGTTTTCCTAGACCCTTCTCCTCCTGGAATTTTAAATTGACCATACATTACCCTCTGATTTCACCTTAGTGAGAAAGAGGCTTGGTGGTGTAATTTCTCTAGTCCAATGCAACCATCATAATTTGACCATACATGACCTGTTGCCGGCAACCATCTTGTATTCTATATATAACTCTTGTAATTTGAGCACAGATTACACTAAGATGCCACTTTCCTAAGTAAGTGGCCTGGTTCAATTTTAAAATGATTGTTTTTGAGGGTGTAATATCTGTCTGTTTGTGGTGCTAAAATGCAACTATATTGCAGTCTATAATTGACCTCTTGTTAAGTATCATTATTGACATTATACAAGTGATAACTGGAAACCCACATGATGCAGCTGGTAGAGAATTGTAATTTCTCCAGATTAAGCAAGGAGATTGCTGAGAAAAGCCATCAACTCAGGTTCCAATTATGGACCATTTTTTTTTTTTTCCTTTTCATGTTAATGCATTGGCCCTTACTGCATTATGATCCTGTTAAATCAGGCAGATGAGGGGAGAGGAACTTCAAGGTTTAACTATTGAAGATCTGCAGCAATTAGAGAGGTCCCTCGAAGCTGGATTGAGCCGTGTAATTGAGAAAAAGGTTAGCTTTTTTCTTTCAAATCAGTATTTAATTTTGTTAAAAGATTGCTGACTTGTCCATGTCTAATGCAATTGATGTCATGTATTCAGGGTGAAAAAATTATGAAGGAGATCAATCACCTTCAGCAAAAAGTAAGATAGTGTTTTTACTGTGTAATTTGCTTTTGGACAAATGATAAATTCTTCAAGTCAGTTGTATTAGAAAGATTATTTTTCCTTCGTCTTATCTGGACATGGAAGCTATTGACTTAATCATGACACTATTAGATGCATCCCGTGGATTATGATGTGGTTGTGTTTTAAGTCTCTGATTGGAAATCTATAGCACGCTATACTTTCAGTGTTTTAGCTTCTGTGTTTATGACTGAATTGTGAAATTGTAGGGATTGGAACTTATGGAAGAAAATGAGCGTTTGAGGAATCAGGTAAGAATTTACACGAATGCCTGAGACCTCTCTTGGTTTATTATCTCCTCTCATGGACATATTATAACAGCTTTGGGTGTTTCCTTGAAGGTAATGGAGATATCAAATGGGCGCAAGCAAATTGCGGGAGCTGATTCCGATAACATTTTGTGCGAGGAAGGGCAGTCATCGGAATCAGTCCCCAGCGTCTGCAACTCGGCTGGTGCTCCACAAGACTACGACAGTACTTCTGATACTTCCCTCAAGTTGGGGTAAGAATTTCATTGTTACTTATATTCCATATTAAAACATGATAGGAAGATAGCAGGAAAATACTATGACGGAAAAAAAAAAAAAAATCAACCGGGAATTTGTAGGGCCAATCGGATGCGGATGGCATGTATGCGCTTTTAATCTCAAACATTTCCATTGTTTATGATCTCAAGCATTTGCACGTTATGTTAATGTATGCTTTCAGTAATGTCCCAAGACCCCGATCCATTCTGTAAAATATTCTGGTAACACATGATATATCGTGGCACCTTCTGCGTGGGTTGAAATTTATTTAGTCCGAGATCTTTCAAATGCCTTTTGCAGGTTGCCATACTGTGGATGATTGATTGAGGAGAGCCGTTTAGGAGAAACCCAGAAAGGGCCAGTCTTGGTAGTAGTGTCCTCGCGTGGGACGAAGGTTCGTGTGTAATAAAAGATGTAAAGCTAACCGGAGCAACTTAAATTTAGTTTCTGATTGAGGCAGGTTGAGATGATGATGTACTAGTATTTTGTCCATGTATATTTTCAAAAATCCAGGTCTGTTAATGCTAGTTGAAGCTCAAAGTTGTGTTCTTCTTAGTTTAATTTACTAGTAGTAGTACAGGAGTATTTGCTAAATATTTTACTCCCTTTATTCCAAAATTATTGTCCACTTTGAGATTTCACTTTTAATATAATTTTAATTAGAAATGAGAACTTAAATTGGACAATAATTATGGGACGGAGGGAGTAGTCATTTTGCGCTCTCATTTAATCCATGCATTGATCTTCGAACCCTTTTTCATTCGTGTTTGCCAACATGTGAACTTCAATTCCGACTATTATGATTACATTTTCCGATTTCATCATTCCCACCACTATCACATGATTTTTAAGCATAGTAAGCAGTAGTCAGAATTCATCCTCGAAACCTTTCTACTTGGAAACGCCGAAAGGTTACGTGTCTGATGCTGTCTCAACTTCAGTTTTCGTGTTCGTGGAATAAATCCGAAGTCCAACATCATGGTACATCTAAGTGGCCCAGTAGCAATAAAAGTTTATGAGGCCTTAGAAATCCCAGAAGCTGTTTGCTCTTTTTTGGGCCCGAATGGCCCATTTATCCAATTGGGTGATCTCTATTTTTTGTGCAAAATACTATGCCAAAAAAAGCTGCAGAGATCAATACGTATACTCATGATATTCATAATCAATACCTATATCTGCTAGTATTACATTGAGCTAATATAATTTACCAAATACACAAACTGACACCGTTTGTAGTAGCTTAGGCTATTAGCTAACAAACATCAAGGTGGCCTGTTAGCAATAAAAGTTCATGAGGCCTTAGAAGCCCCAGACTCTGATTAACCTTTTTGGGCCAGAAGTAGCCCATTTATCCTGTTATTGGAGTTCCGCCGCGTTCATCATCACCAAACAAAATTAACTTTACTCATTTTCAATTGGGGAAAACTTCTAATTCTCTTTTTCAATCACAGTCACAGAGGGGATTTTCAATTTGAAAAGTTTCTGTATTCTTGAATTCCTGATTCTGTGCGAAGCAGCGTTGTTCCTTGGAATCAGGAGGTTATTCTTTTGGATGTTTTCGTTTCTATCGTTTATTTTTTGGTTCAGACTTCTTACGTGCATACTATCGAAATTGTGTTCGCGTTTAAAGATGTGGGCATTTTGATATTCTATTTTAGAGTTTCCTTAACCTTAAAATTGAGTTACAGTGTGTTTCCTTGATAATTTTCTTGTGCTTGTTGGTGCTTATTGTTGGATTTTTATTTCGACGTATAAGGTTATGTGATTATTACTTTAGGTTTGTGGTTTGGTGGTCTTTAGCACCCGAGACTTTGAGTTTTGCGTTTTGGTTTTGCTTTAAACTTAATTTTTCTCTGTTTGTTAATTAGCTGTTGGAAGCACTTAGTGTGCCTGGTTTTGAGCATCTTTCTATGCCTAGTTGAGTTAGATTCACAAGTTTTTTCCCCTGCGCTGAAGTACTGTTTTTTGTTTCCTAAAATCTAAAATATATTCTGGAACTGAACACACTCGGTTATTATTTCAGAGAATCCCTAATGTCTCCCCCTGTGCTAGGAGAGTAGGAGTTATCGCTTGATATGGAAAGTTTGATTGCATTGAGGGCTTCTTCAGAGAATCCCCAGTGCTCTGATGGCAGCAATGCAAGTCCCATTGATAGGATAAGCAATCTGCCGGAGCCGATCATTTGCTACATTCTCTCATTATTGCCCACAGATGCTGCTATTGTAACTAGCTCTTTATCGAAAAGTTGGCAATTTCTCTGGACTAAAGTTAGCGTCGTTGATTTGGATTTTTGTTCTTGTGCCTTCGATGTTATTGAAATTGTGGAAATCGTCAACAAGGTTTTGATTCAACTGAAATCTGAAAAACTGGACAAGTTTCGTCTCTGTGGGACAGACGTGGACTGGGATCGAGTTAATGTAAGTAAATGGCTAAGTGAAGCAATTGCTCGGAATGTTAAGGTTATTGATATGGGTCTTGGCGATTTTGTTGATGGTGAGCCTATCCAACTACCAGCTACCCTATTCACCTGTGAGACATTAGAATCTCTCAGGTTGGGAGGGCCTTTCCTGATTGAGGTCCCTGGTACTGTTCACCTTCCCAAACTAGCAGTCTTAGAACTTGATGACGTTTTTTATAAATGTGACAAAGCTTTTCATGAGTTTATATCTAGTTGTTCTGGGCTCTATTCTCTCAGCGTCTATAGGAAAAATCTCAATGATGGTTTGATCGTTTGTGCCATATCTTCCCGCTCACTTAGATTTCTTCAATTGGTATACTACTATGATGACATTGATGATGCTTCCTTGTGGAATAAGCATCTGAAAATTGAGGCCCCTGCTCTTGAACACCTCATTCTGACAGATGCAGTCTCCATAATGTTCTCATTAGAAGGGCTAATCTCTTTGAGAAAAGTAGAGCTTGATCTGAATGATCAGTGCTGTGATAGATATTGCAATTTGGTTGTTAAGCAAGTTGAAGCAATGAATTGTGTGAAGGTGCTGAAATTAACCGGTGAGACTTGGGTTTCTCTTACCCATGCCACTACTAGGCTGTCAGCAAAGTTTGAGAAATTAACCAAATTGTACATAACCTACAGTGACTGGACGTCGTACGCATACTGGGGGGACTTCACGTGGAGCTTCCTGAACGACTTGCTGGATTGTTCAGCGAAACTAGAAGTCCTACAGATCACAAAAGATTCAGGTTGCAAAAGAGGATATGCACCTGGACATAAACATGAAATTTGTTGGAGGAAACCTTCCAAGGTCCCGGAATGCCTTTCACGCAGTCTGGCACAAGTTTCATTCTATGGATTCGAAGGCTTACCGATGAGTTAAAACTGATAAAGTATATACTAAAGCATGGTGCTGTGTTGAAATGTGTGACCTTAAACTCCATGGCTCCTCCACATGATTTCAAGAAGAGGTTCCTCATAGCTCAGAAGATATTGATGTTCCCCAGAAGCTGTCAAGTCAAATTTTCTTGAAATGGCTGCAATGGTACGGTTCGTGTCATAACATTCTTTTTTGCAGTATTAGTTTTTGTTTCCTGGAATCTGGATGTTGCTTCAATGCAGCTTTGATAAAGTGGTGACTGGACAGCAACCTTGAGGGATAATTTATCTTAGTTGTTTCACATTTCCTATCGTAAATTGTGTGTTAGTACAAAGCACGAAGGCTATTTTGGGACTTATTGTTTGTTCTATCCTCAAATTCACCATGAAGTTGTGGATTGACTGCTTGCAAACAACGTGTAATTGTTTATTGCGCTTAAGATATTTGGCTTCATGTTGGTTGTGATTATGTTTTGATAGTTGCTTCGAAAATTTCATGTTTATTTATCAAATTTCAATGGGGATTTACGTTGCAGTGTTTTGTACTATTTGTATAACTATATCTGATCCTGGAAATTTGGCCATGAATTTTAGCCTCATAACCTGTCCCGGGGTACATAATCTTTGGGTTGGATTTGAGGATGAAATGTTTCATTGGATGGTTTTACCAGAATGTCTCGCTCGCTCACATGTAGGAATTTTGGATTACCTTAGTGTTTTTGATGTGGCTGTATCAGGGGAGTGTCTTGCTTTGATGGATTTTATTGATGGCAAGTTTTGGGTGATGAAAGAATACGGAAATGTGAATTTGTGGGAAATTTTGTATAAACTTCACTTGTGTCAACGGATTTCAGGACCAAATGTGATTGGGTTTAGAAAGAATCTCTTTCATGACAAGCTTGTTTCTTTTGATCCACAGGAGTGGAAGGGTTAAGGATCTTGAGATTTATGGCGAAACTTGTTCAATCGGTGCTGCAGATTATCTGGAAAGCCTAGTCCTGCTTGAAGGCCATAGATTTTGGAGGAAATGTTGCAGATTATCTGGAAAGCTTAGTCCTGCATGAAGACAAGGCCAATTTAGTGTAGGTTTTAGAGGAAATGTTGTCAAGTGTGGGACTGGTTTTTTCTTATCAGAGTCCACATTGCTTTGTTCGAGTTGATATATGCTCTTTTATTCCTTGATTTTGTTAGCGAAATACTACATATTATCCTATTTAGTATGTAAATGCAGGTGGCAAAAAACTGAATCATTTGACATGCAAAATGGTTTTGAAATTTTGATCCATTATACAAAAGCTACATTCGTTTTCCCTTTGTTGTTCATATCTCAGTTTTCATACTCGTTTTTGCCTTTCTATGATGAAAGATCTTAAAAAAAAAAATTTGTGAAATCTGACACAGCAAGAAAAACACCATTTCCTTTTTCCCTTGGTTCTAACTTCTAAGAATGAATCTTGAAAATTGACATCCTACAATATGATCTAGGCGGCTTTTCTTATCACTTGAGACAGCAGCAGCCGTTTCAAAAAAAAAAAAAAAGAAACAGCAGCAGAAATGAAGTGGAAAATACCAAAATAATTGTCCGGTTTATATTTTTTTCTAGTAAAAATTGAACTAAATCCAAACCCGATAATCATTTCGAGTAGGAGTACACATATTGTTTCTAAAAGTCACTTAAACAAACCGGGAATTGGAGGTATTCTTGAAAGAAACCAAAACGCACTTAGTTAAAATAAAAATAAATGAATAAATAAATAAACTCTTACTCAATCAAGGGCCAAGTATGTGTAAAGAGACAATAGCACATTTAGGAAAATGAATAAATCTTAAGTGTACAATTTGGTGACAAATAATAACAGCATTTGAATAACCAAAAATGAAAATAAAAATACATAAGAAATCACTCCTTCTTAGATTTGGAGAGAGCTTTCTTCCTCTGCCCAAGCATGTAGGTGTACATGTGAGGACTACCTGCACAGCATCATTTGGTAGAGCAAAATCAGCCCCAGAAGAAACAAAAGATAAATTTTGTTTTTTAATAGAACGAGAAATTTGAATGGAGGTCATGCCTGGGACATAAACACCAAGAACGGCAAATGCTGCATAATAATAATCAAATGAGAAGTTCCACTTGTTGGGCAATTGCACACCGTATTTACCAGATTCCTGAAAAAATGGTAATGGAGGCCTCTGTTAGCGAAGATAGCCCTAAGCCATTTCAGTCAATCTTTTTCTTTTTTTCTTTTTTTTTTGAAAATGGATTTCAGTCAATCTACTGTTAAGTAAATCCACAAGATGAACATGTACATGATCGAAAATGATGAACTGCAGAACCATGGTAATGTTGTACAATGATGTCACAATCAATCATTCTGATTCTGGTGGCTCAAAAAGGACAGTCATTCAATGAGAGGAAGAATCCCTATAAACTTACACACTCTCAATAAGTAAACTCCTTGATCAATTCTTTTCCTGATGGACTAGGATGTGAAAATAAAACTTCGCCAGTAACTAAATTGTTTTATCATATTTTGGATCACAAATCAAAACAGAATCTTTAACAAAATCACATATCAGAAAAGCTATCCAAACACATTTCATATCGGCATCACCATATGGCATTCTAAAGTTCTGATCACAACAATATAGCTTTGGCAAGTGTTAAATGGACATAACTCCTACATCAAACAGGAACTGGACAGAAATACGGTTTAGGGTATCTGAGTTCTAACAGAGAAGAAACTGGACCAGTTCTTGCATTTTCAGCTTCTTACCTTAATGTATGGTAAGGCATTGTAGATTAGGCCAACCTCGCTAGTGATCCCAGTTGGGTACAGTAAAAGGAAGGTGCTGTATCTGCAGTATACCATTCGAGAAAACATTACTCTACTTAAATGACGCTATGAGTTCCCCAGGATGAAGAAACAATAAAGTTTATACCTGAGCCATTGAAGCCATGAAGGTGCAGAACCAAGGGCTTCCTTTGTCCCAAAAAAAGAGTATCTGATAATCTGAATTATATGAGAAAAATTATTTCGTTTTCTCAAGCTAAATTCCCAAATGACCACCAAGAGATATGAAAATGATGAAGTCAATCATGCTGGAACAAGTATGTAAAATTGCTATAAACTTGAGTAGATAGTTGATGAGCTATAATGTGCATACATTTAGCAGTATTCTGAAAATGCTAGGTCTTCCGGCAATGAAATGCCTCAAATACACAAATCAAAATGTAGTTTACTTCATGACAGAAAACCCAGCAGCCTTTATCCTAATATAGCCACATGTTGTCTTGCAATCATAATCTGGTTTGATTCGTGTGATATAGATAGGAAATAAGTTAATTGAAATTAAATGGTAGGATCTTTGACTCTTGTTACATGAAAACTGGAAGACTAAGAAGTTCTACATATCATAGCCTGAAGTTGCTAGAAACTTAATTATGAACATGCAGCAGAAGGAGAACCGGAAAGTCCCACTTGAGTTGAACAAGGACCAATAAAAGGAAATATTTCTGTGAAACAAATATCTACTATTCACAGTTTATTTGGAGTTCTGGTCTTGGTAAGATTTAAGACTCTATGCAAGCAACAAATTGAAGATTATTCTCTCCAAGGAATGTCATTCAAACTGTAAACAGAGTACATGAACAAGAAATTCAATACTCAACAAAACAGCTTGCTTCCACTCATAAAAATGCCTCACTTGTGGCTAGATCTTAATTGCTGCAAAACACCCAAATAGTTTCTTCAAACATCAAATATTCAAGAAGCTTTTATCTATATCAAGATATTTACGTCACATAGAATCCCAACAAGGATAGCCTTTCATCCAATGAACATGAGACTTACCTCAGTGATAGACCAGCTAATGACCAAAGAACTAACTAGCATATGGGTCCGAACCTGTGACCAGAAAATGTTATCTAGTGAGTAGGACCTTTTGATTCAAGTAAAATAATTCAAAGATCAAACTGTTCAAACCTCGGGAAAGCTCCACAAAATGCCCCAAGTCACATATAACCTTGAACCAATCTGTGGCAGTGTTGCAGAAACTGGAGATCTAACCAAGCCTTTTCAAGGAAGAGAAATAGTATCAATAAAAATTGGCAATAAAATCTTCAACTAGCACAAATATTAGTTTTCCATTGAATTATACTTACCCACCAGACCATGAATTATCTGCTCCATCCGATTGCGGAGAAGTCAATAAGAGAGGAAAGAACCAGTTAGTGAATGCAACACAGAAGTAAAACGAAAGGTTAAAAACTAGTAACAGAAAAATATATAAAAAAGGAAAAGAAGAAAAAAAAATGTAGACTCAAGGTCAAAATCTGAAGTTTTGTATATCCATTTCAAGCACTACCTGTTCTGGAAGTCCGGTAGGATCAAATGTTGCATTTTATGCACATGTATATACACAGTATACTAAACCACCTAATAATCTAGAGAATCATATGAAGCAAACATTTGTAATAAGAAAGGTTTCATTGCTGGACCAGGACATGCGATACAATTTCATTACTTAGTACCAACTAGTGAAGCAGACAGAAGCATAAGCACTCGAATAGGACAATATCTCCACATGAGCTTCAGGGAATCTTGGCACTTATATTCTTTGGATGCAGGACGAGAGTTTACGGTGTATAAATGCTCGCAACAAACTAGGCTTTTACGCCAAGACTACACATAACTTGCGCAAAAGGAAGAAAAATTCTTTCAATCATGCCACTACATGAACCAAGTTTATAAACCTCAATATATCTTCATGCCCTAGATTAATATACTCAATTATTCTTGATGTGCTAGTAATAAATTATTTTCCATAAACCAACAAAACAAACACCTATGAATTAAAAATAAAAAATTATAAAAAAAAACCCAATCTATACCTCTAAAATGGCAGCAGATTGAGCTAAAAGCAGAGGCTTTTCGACAGCTTGGTAAACATGTTCATGTCCGGATTCTTTCAGCGTTTTCACCGCCAAATAAAACACTTGAAGCCTAACAGAAATCCATTATCCCAAAACACAAAAAATTAGGACCAAAATTCAAACAAAAAAAAGAGTTCATATCACTCACATAGACAGAAACACAAACATCTTTCAGTGTGATCAATTATACAAGAGAATTTTACCATCCAACGAACACGGTCCAGTTGTAAACAGTGAGGTAAAGTCTTCTCAGACCTGATAAAAACCCTCCCATAATTGTTGTTCTGAGTTTCACCAAAATATGCGGAAGAAATCGCTGTGATTTGTAATGTATGGGGGAACCGGACAAGTAAATACGAAAGGGAATCCGAAGTTTGTAAAAAATTGAATGTGGGGGAAGCAGAATTAGGTGAGCAGATGAGCCAACTTTGAGCTGCTCTGATTTGAGATCTGCTTCACTTCATAGCTCAACTGCCAACTGATACCTGTAATAAAATTATGATTTTTGAATTCCATTTCTTTTAATCATCAGCGGGTGGATAGTACGATGCCGTATTTGGGAGAAGTTTTCTTGGGATACTTTTTTTAATTTCCACATTTCGCCCCTTGATTATCATAGATGGAGAACAAGGTCCCAGATAAATTCTAAACTTTCAGTAACGATATAATGATACATTAGTGACAATTCACAGTGAAATGGAATACTAACAACTGAAAAGACAAAAAAAAACCACACTACTCTCTCAATAACTACTAAGATAATAGGGATAGTTATGTATTTTTATATGTGTCATACCAGTCACTATTTCATTTTAATATACATTTTCACTATATATATATATATATCATTTTCTTTATATATGAAACGGTTTCATAAATAGGGCAACATACTATACTGGCAAAATATTGGTGCATTTAAAACATGAAAATATTGGTTTTTCAACATGTGTAATGGTATGAAATCTATTGATACTTAGTGGGAGTTCACAAGGGAATTGATTTGGTTTCGTATTATGAAAACTTATAATCTACTATATATTATCATTATGGGAGATAAATTGAGTGAATGGAAAATAAACTTGTTTATGCACAAGTTTCAATCAATATATAAATAATAATTTACACGTCGACTGACATTTTTATTCGCTTATACAACTTTCATTTTTATGTAACTAGGATGCACACCAAACAATTATTTCAGAAAAAAAAAAAGAAAAAAGAAAAAAGGTGCAACAACAAACAACGAGTTTTTTGCTGTACATTTGCGGTACTTGAGTGATCAAAGTTAATAAAGTGTTTCTCTAATCTCAAACGCCTTTTTCAGCACTAGGGAATATCGAAGTTGGTAAAAGGTGGCTTATTTCCTTCATTAATACTAATAATGTGAGTTTAATGAGTTGAAAATTATGTGTAGGACTAAGTCCAATAAAAATGATTACGTACTAGTAATATTTTTTCTGTTCCATATCAGATTTTTTATTTTGAACTAAAAATAAAATCTAATTTTATTTTATTTTTTACACCGAAGAAGCATTGAAGCTTAGTTTACAAAGCTACTCCATAGGGAGGAATTGGGCCAAACGCAAGTGGGCTATCGATAGCCAATTGATCTATGGCTATTCCGGTGGGTTTACCAAAATATGTATTCTGTCGGGGTCGAGTATCTCATTTTAGCGAGGGAGTCGGCCATTTTGTTCTCTATATCACGGGCTGCTCTTTTCAATAGCAATCCGTGTGGCACTAGCTCACTCAAATGTATAAAGTGATACTAGCTCAGCCTATCTAAAGCAAAATCTGCAAGTTTGGAATGAGAAATTTATGAAGAAAGAAAGGTTCTAGACTTAACTCAAAGAAGACCTCTAAATTTGTTTAGAACCCTTTCATTCTATACTTATACAAATGAGGGGTCTTGCCATATCTATAGACAAACCTTTAAGGTCCTAGAAGTTTCTTCCACCTCTTCAACAAGAATTACCTCCAAACTTTTAGACTATTCTTGAACATTAACCTAGCATTACCTAGAATTTTCTAGTTGATTCCACATTGCCCTATATTCTACAAGATTTTAGAGGATTCTAAAGAGTTCTACACTATTCTAAAATATTCTGCATATTTTCACAATATCCTATACATGCCTAGAATAATCTATAATAATCTAGAACATTCTAAATATTTATAGAAATGTCACGATCATGACATCTGGAAGCCAGATATGGAAAATTACAACATCCTACATAAAACACTACTAGGGTGAAAAAATGGGATATCCTATTTAAGGATTTGACTGCTTATAAATTGTCCAGTTAGAAATAAAATCTAAAATGAACAATTATTTCGGAGCACAGGAGTCTGAAAGATACTATTCTCCATGTATCTCATCAAATCCACTTTAAACCTTTCAGCCTATAAGCCCAAACCAACATACACCTAAAAATGCATACAAAATAGGCCCCAAGTCTAGTTTTGAGTAGATTATCTATTGATAGCCCAACTGCAACTTCATCAGTGGGCCTGTAGTCCAAGCTGCAAAGCTTCCGTTGTATGTAAATAAATAAATAATTAAAAAAAGCATGCAAATTACATTCCAAACATATAATGTCTCATGTACAAAATGCAATTGTCAAACATATTTCTTGAAATTAACATATAAAGCATGTAAATACATATAAAGTTTATTTTCAAAAAAAAAAACAAACATATAAAGTCTCATGTTCAAAATCAATTGTCAAACATATTTCTTGAAATTAAATTTAAATATCCAATGATTTAATGATAGAAAGAGTATATATTATGCAAATCATGTTTTCAAATGAAATGACAATTTTTTCCGGTAACCACTACTTATCATTATATTCATTACTCCATTTGTCTCAAAATAACGGTATTGTTTGAATTTTTATTTTTAATTTAAATTTTACTAAAACTAAAAAATCTAAATTAAATAATAATTTCGAGACGAGAGAATATTACTTTTGTGAACTCTTAGTTTTAATTGGGTTCATATTCATTGTCATATAGATGGAGTATGGAGTTTCAACTTTTTTTTTAATATATATAATAGGAGTTTCAACTTTCAAGTTTTTGCTTATAATTCCCTCTTCATCAATGGACCCTCAAAGCAAGTAATTTTGACATAAAATTTGTGTCTCATAACGAGTGCGCTGATCCTTAATTAGTTTTACATATTTTAAAAAATTTTGGATGAAATACGAGAAAATGAACCCACCTGAAAACGAATAAAAGAGATATGGTTAATTAATGATTGAGTGCAGAACAAAACCATTACGTGGTAGTACATCATATGAAGCAGTTTTAGGAAAACCTATAAATTTAGTTTGACGACGATTGATTGATACAATATCGATCCTGCACGATCATTCTTGTAAATGAAGTTATATACATTTATTGTCCATAAACCACAAATAGTACTAAGAGTAACATGGCCTCTAATTATTTTGATCGTCGTTATAAAACGGGACGTGTATAAGCGTGATAAGTAAGAGAACATTTTCATGTCGTTTCCTGATTCCTTGCATATCAACCTCTCCTAATATATTGAACAATTATTAAAGAAAAAAAACCTAATACACAAAATATTTCATACGTCTCAAAATTATTGTTTAATTTATTTTTTTCATTTTTAGTTCATATTATATTAACAATGAAAAACGATTTAAACAATAATTTTGGGACATAAGAAGCATAAAATTTGAGACATATAATAAGAAATCCGACTTAATTTAGTTAGACTTATATGTGATGAGTTTTTTTTTTAATCATATCTCAATTATATATTAAAGAACAGTTTTCAATCGGACACATGGCGTAAAATTAGATAGTGTAATACATGTGGCAAAAAATTAGATATGTAAGTCCACGTGTCACAACCACATCACTCCATCATTTAATGGTAATTTTTTTAATGTAAATTATAAATTTATAAGTAAAAGTAAATTAATTGGGATATCTCTCTATAATATAATATTTAATAACTAACTTGTAATATATATATATTTTTTGGGTCAACAAAAGACTTCTCGAAAACATCAATTCTGTTTACATATGCAGAAAATTTTTTTATGGGAAACACATTAAGAATTAATTTTTTTACAGTTTTTCTTTTACATTCGTTAATTATCAAAGACAAATGAAAAACCTTGGTTACTGTAGCTTCTTCAGATATATGTTCCACATGTTATTCTACACAGCTCAAAAATTTCTACATTTTTTTAACATATATTTCATAAAAAAAAAAATATCTTGGCGTACTTTGTTGGACTATTGGGCAAAATGGAAAATTTATTTAATTCATTTGATTCATGGATTCTGAAAACTTCATATCTTCTTTTAAAAACAATTAATTCCCTAAAAAATGTAAAATTATGAATTATGAAAAACATCTTCCTCATTACTGAATACCAATTTTATCAAGGAAAAAAAAACACTTAATTAAAAAGTAAATTGTCTCATGGGTACGTAATCTTAGAAGTTAATATGTTAAAGTGTAATCATTAATTAGCTTTTTTTTTTCATTGGTTAGTGTATGTTTTTTCATTGGTTAGTGTATTGATTTTTATTTTAGTAGGTGGTACTTTGATTGTAAATTTTTTAATGATAAGATTTTTTAAATGTACAACTATTAAATGATTAATATGATTAAATTGTATAAAATTTAAAAATAAAAAAGTAAAAAAATAATAATACTGAGAATATAATTATATATTAATCATCTAAACTTTTAAAAATATAATAATATATTATATTATATTTAATATAATAAATTATAAAAAAACACCATAAATGATTACTAATATTTTATATACTATACATATATATATTCTTTTAATTTTTTTCATATGATATAATGGTAGAAAGTTAACGTTATGATGATAAAACAAAACGTAGAGATCAATAGAGAGAAAGTTCTAATATAAGAAAAAGAATAAAGGATTTTATGATAGACAAACAGTAGAAGAAAAACATATTGTGAAATTAAAAATAATTATATGAAGGAAAAAATTATGTATAAAGAATAAGAAACTCCGAAAAAAAACCCTAGATAATGGTAAAAACTTATTACAATTTTTTCAAGAGATGAGGCTTTGAAGAGGGGTCATCAAATAGGAAAAAAAAAGGTGAAAACTATGCAACCAAGAAAAAAAAATATCATTTCAAAAAAAAAGATGAAATAAACAATGTATTATAGGAAACAATTATGAACAAACTTCTAAAGAAAGGTTGGAAAAGGTATACAAAGAGATAAAAAAAATAAAG